CCCTACGCCATGCCAAAAAGCCAGGTGGAAAATATTTATCTATATATCATGACCCAGATCCTGTAGATGAATTTATGAACCCCGAACTTTTCCCAATGATATATCCAACACTTTTCCCATATGGTATTGGAGGGTTTCAGGATTCTAAACGGGAAAATCCTCCTTCTATGACGAGACATATCAAGCATTTATTTAATATTAGTGATCGTAGATTCCAAGAACATTATTCTTTTTTATTTACTGCTTTTAATATGCTCCAGAGGCACAATTTGCTTTTGCATACTAGTCTTAAAACTGAAAAATCAAATTTTAAAAAAATGGCAGAGCAGTTTGCATCGGTCAACTCAGATGTTATTGCAACGGTTGTTAATCAATTCAGTCAAGGTAATATGTCTATGAGTGATCTATCTGCTGATGAAAAAAAAGTTTTTCGTTTGATGCAAGAAGTGACAGGCATCAGCAAGCATGTCCAAGGTTCCATTGCATCACGTATGGAGATGAGAAATGAAATACGTGGGCTGATGGTTGATCAGGGTATTTCCAAGTTTCTATATCACAATTAACCCAGCAGATGTGTTTAGTCCAGTTGTCTGTTTATTAGCTGGGGAAGAAATTGACATTGATAATATTCTGCCTGGGCAAGTGCCTGATTACTGGAAACAGGCAATTTTAGTTGCAAAAAATCCTGCTGTTGCAGCAAAATTTTTCAATATTTATATGAAAGCATTTATATCTTGTTTGCTTAGATATGACCCCAGTCATAAAGACATTGAGGGTGGTATTCTGGGATTATGTAAGGCTTATTATGGTTGTGTTGAAGCCCAAGGCCGTGGTACACTTCACTGTCATATGCTGGTATGGCTTGAAGGAGGGTTAAACCCAAATGAGATTAAAGACCGGATTCTTCGAGATCCTGATTTTAAAACACGTTTACTGTCATTTCTTGAAGATTCAATTGTCAATTTTATTCCAGAAGACCCTTTACCAGATACTTCTATTCCTTCAACTGAATATAATCCTTGTTCTGTTCGTGGATTTGACCCTAATCAGTGCAATATTGATCCATCATACTTGCAAAAATTGCGCCAGAAAGACCTGTCTCGACTTGTAGACAAATGTCAATGGCATGAACACACATCAACTTGCTACAAATATTGGCGTGGTTACCCCGAAGTGAAAGAATGTCGATTTGATCTAGATGCATCAAACACGAGAGCAGAGAGTTCAGTTGATCCAGATACTGGTGAGATTTGTTTAAGATGTCTCAATGGGCTGGTGAACAACTTCAATGCAACAATTCTTGAGGCAGTCCGGTGTAATATGGACATCAAGTTCATTGGGTCTGGAGCATCTGCAAAAGCTGTATTATATTACATCACTGACTACATTACCAAAGAGCAACTTAAGGCCCATGTTGCATATGCAGCACTTGAGCTTGCAGTCAAGAAACTTGCTGTATTTGATCCAACTGATGATGACATCACCATCCGCGCTAAAAAGCTACTGCAAAAGTGTGCATATGCTTTGCTGTCCCACCAAGAATTGTCTGGTCAACAAGTGGCTTCATATTTGATGGGATTTGAGGACCATTTTACCAGTCATAAGTATGCCAAGTTGTTTTGGTCATCTTTTGAGTCCGTCATCGAATCTCAACTACCATCTCCGGAATGTTATCAGACTACTGAACAGGCCAACCCAGAAGACACTATCAATGCTGAAGAGAATGGTGATTGTACCGATGAAGGAAATTTGGATGCCAGTCCCGAGGCCTTATCAGATACAGCTGGTGGATTCGATGCCCCACTAGACCTCAATGAAGACGAGGAGGTTGCATTCGGTTTTGGAGATAATGGTAGTGTCACGGAAATTCCATCAGCGGTTTCGGATTATCTATATCGTGGTCAAGAACTTGATAGAGTATGTGTGTGGGACTTCATTGCCCGAGTTCAGAAGGTAACCAAAAAAAGGGCCAATTTCAAAGTTCAAGAGGAATCAGAGCAGCCTGAGGATGTTTTCCTGAACATTGGTATTGAAGAAGAGGAATCCGGGACAGAAGATGAGTCCGCATTGGAATCAGTTATGGATTCTTTGCACTACAGACGTCCTCGTGTGGATCTGCTGCAACCCCATACCCAGTTTGACACTCATATTCTCTATGTGACACATCCTGATAATAGGCAAGTCCCCGTTCCAATGGGGAAAGGGCTACCACGTCGGGACCTACCTGCAACATCAGTCCGTTTCAAACGCTTGATGCTTATTCTCTTCAAACCTTGGCGAGTTGTTGGAGACCTAAAGCCGAAAGAGGCAACTTGGGATGAAGCATACACTAGTTTTCTCAATGAGTGTTCAGCGGAATATCTGAAGAAGATGGATAACATGCAAGTGATCCATGAATGTCGTGATAGCAAAGATGACTATTTTGCAAAGCGATGTAGTCGTGCAAAAGAATTTCGATGCTTCCATCTCCGCAAGACATAGGCAAGGAAATCTTGTTACTGACGACTTCCTGAGTGCCGATGATACACAGCAAGAGATACTTGAACACCTCATGTCACTCAAAGAATGTCGCTCAGACAAGACAGCGCATATCGGGAAAAATATATTGGAATGCCTCCAATACGCAGAATCGGCAGGTATGTATCAACCAACTGGCCACCGACCACCGAACGAACCCAAATATGGCGAAGCGATAGTTGAAGAATCGGATACGGAGTTGATCTCTTCTCATAACATTGAAGATAGATGGCGACATATCTATGATGAGCGGAGGAAAGCAGTGAAAAAAGGGCAAAGAAAAGGAAAGCAGACATCACTAACAGACGACAGGTTGGTTGCCGATGCCGGTCCAAGTGCACGAGTAGAAGAAGAGTTGTCGAGTATACCTCCCGTTGCAAGGAGTCAATCCGTCCTTACTCCGTCTATTGTTGGGGACTTTGAGAAAGATCAACCATTGCTACCTGTAGATGTAGATGCCATGGCTGCAAAGTGGACATTGAATGACGAGCAACAGAGAGCATTCCGCATCATTGCAAATCATTCAATGCAACCTGATGCAACACAACTAAGAATGTTCATTAGTGGCCCCGGATTATCGATGCTTTGACTGACTTCTTCGAAATGCGCAGCCAGTCCAGACGTATCAGGTTGTGTGCCTTTACGGGTGTTGCAGCGAGAAATATTGGCGGAATGACTTTACATTCTGCTCTCGGTTTAATGCAACATTCAGCAAAGGAAATGCAAAACGCGGGTACTGCACGGAAGCAAGACTTGATGTCAATGTGGGAGGGAGTCGATTACTTGGTGATTGACGAAGTATCGATGGTTGGGTGCGGGCTACTTCATGATGTGAACAAGGCTTTATGCGAAGCAACAGGGAAAAATGCACTGTTTGGTGGGATTAATATAATATTTGCAGGTGACTTCGCACAGCTCCCACCTGTAGCGGAAACAAAGCTGTTTTCTCGCGTCGGAGGTCGAAATTTCAAGCGAGCAACAAAGCAGAGCGAAAGGATAGTTTTCGGAAAATTACTGTGGATGTCAGTTGACACAGTGGTCATACTTACACAACAGCAACGGCAGTCAGGCCCAGAGAATCAGAGATTTGTCGAACTACTTCAACGGTTGCGCAAAGGGTGTTGTACGCATGATGATTGGGAGTTGCTCAATGAACGTCTGATCACAGTTGACCGCCCTGACTGGTCTGATGAGGACGTCCGTACCGCTCCAATTCTAGTCTCGCAAAACGAGGTTAAGGATAAGCTGAACGAAAAGGCTACTTTAGCGTTCAGTCACCATGCCAGTAGGGACTTACATTGGTACTATTCCATCGACAGTCGGAGTGGCGAAACAATTGATGATTCTGATCTTCAAGATTATCTGCACAACTTACCGACAAGCGATACAAGTCAGCGATTGGGGAAGCTACCACTCGTTGTTGGGATGCCAGTTATGATAACCCATAATTTCGACGTTGCTGCTGGTATTGTGAATGGCAGTCGCGGGTTCGTGCGTAGTATTCGGTATGAATTGGGCATAGGCGGTCAACGTCATGCTGTATTGTGCGTAGTATATATTCCGGATATGACAGGCCCAGCTTTACCAGGGCTACCTGAGAAGCATGCAGCAGTGATGGCTGAAAAGGTTTCGATGAAGTTTACGCACCCTTATACGCAGAAGAAGTGCACTATTGAGCGGACACAACTTCCCTTGGTCCCAGGTTTTGCAATGACTGTCCATAAAGCACAGGGCCAAACCCTCAAGCATGTTATCGTCGATCTCAAGGGATGTCGGGGCACTGAGGCACCATACGTCATGCTCTCCCGTGCAAAATCTCTTGGTGGTGTGCATATTTTGCGGCCATTCAGCTTGCGTAAAATATCTTGTCATCCTTCTGAGGAAACACGGAATGAGTTTCGCCGCCTGGATGTCATGCGACTGAGGACAATAGCTGAGTATGGTAACGATGACGAAGCCGCGACCGCTCACACTTTACTCAACTCAATCGGTGTAGACCAAAGTGAATCAAGGATTGCGGTGTCTATTGAGAGCGGCACTCGGGACTTGATACGCTTGGAGCAAAGTGCGGCTCGTGATGTGGCCCAAATGGAGCGATGGGATGGTGAGCATTTGACAAGAGGACGAGCTGGTCAGAAGCGGCAACGCCATCGACTGGAAAAAAATGCAACTGCAGTTGAGCCATCATACGGTAATAGAGCGCATGACCAGGTCGACGTACCTGACAGTGCTGACCTTGTACCCGTCACAGCACGCAAACGTCGGCGTCTCAGGCTGCAAGCAGAGGCATCTGAGACAGTGTCGGCCATTTGACAAGGTGTCACGCTGTCAGTCACATTTCCTCCAAAAGACCGCGATTGCTTTTGAGACCTTGGTCGAATCTCAACGTCTTGTTATGAAGGTCGGCTGACCGGGCTGCAGAGACTTAAGAAAGGCGGAGTGGGTGGGTCTTTCGTGCACCATCTTCGCTCATCTCACTTACGATGGCTCCCAAAAAGCCCAAACTTGATGATGTGCCGTCGTCATCTGCTGTGCTCACTCATCCGCCAGTGACCTACGAGGATCGCAACATTCGTGTCGCTGGTACCGACAAGACGACATACGAGGACGCAGTAGAGAAACTCAAGGCAGCCGGCAATGGACGTCTTCTGTGCGAGCATGAATATCCTGTCACTTTTTCTGCTCAGATCAACAAAAACTCTGGCCGCGATTACTTCTTCAACGATGGGAAGCCAGCAGTTTTCTTCTTTATGGGTGAAATTGCCGGTATCGATGATGGGACCGCACTGGGAACGGCTGGAAATCAGAATTTCTCAGAGGTACGCTATTTGTCAATCGTTCATATACTGTACCGCTGACCGTCAATCTAAGAAACCCATTTCAGCTTCAACTTGTGTTCGTCTGCGTCTTCGAATCGATAAACCTTCGGAGGCCCCACTTGAAGTCAGCAATATGTGGAAGAACAGTTTGGTAACCTTGGACAACATCGCATCATACGATGAAGATCATGAGGAGGATATCGACGAGACGTGGGCTGAGCGAGGTTGGCGGGCGGGTAAGGAGTTATCTGGGTTGATTGCGTTTATTAACCTCTTCACAGGACCTTTATGCTACAGAGTTCCTATTTGGGCGTAAAGGAGCTCTTCATGGGCCTGCTGAGCTCATCACTGTCGTCAGCGAACCAATTTTTCCTCGTCCAAATGTAAGTTTTATTTTGGTTCGCATATATTCATATATTAACGAGTTCACAGAAGAACTCGCCTACTAGTGGTGCTCGCAAGCGCGTGCGTCATTCTCGCAAGACAGACACGCAATCTTCACCTGCTGCAACGGACGATGTAAATATGGATCCTGATCATATGACGACCCAGCCTGGTAAGCTTGTGGTCCTCGTTGTCTTTTCGATCTGACAATGTATGAAGTTGGAGGGTTGTATCCCATCTCAACTATGCCAGACGCCGACCATTGGATGCTGCGTGACCTTCCCGACTCTGTCGCTCAGCTCAACATCCGCAATCGTGAGGGTGATCTGGTTCGTCCTTGGGAGTATGCCGAGTGTCTCAAGCCGGGAACGCTGGTTATCATTGCAGCTCGACCAACCTGTTATGTATTTGAGGGTGGGAAGTCTGTAAACAAGGTGCGAACATTTTGTTGGTATCGAAAATGACAGGTTTGACTATCTAAGTCTATCTTCAAAGGTCTACATGTTTGTCATGTCGTCGTGCCAGATCGTGGCAGCGTCGCCATCTGCCGTTCAAGATCATTCGGTTCGCGTTCAGAAGGATACGAACGGGGCCAAAAGAATTCGCCGAAACCCAGGTAGCGGCGCGAAATCGGCGGGAGGCGGCGCTCCCGGTTTTTTTGTAGACAATATCTCCGCGAGTATTGGACATAATAGCACACTGTATACACCATTCGATAGATCTCGTCGAGTACGCTCGAGCCCACTATGTTGCGGCGCGAACGATGCTGTCATTCTGTGTCTCTTTGTCCTCTCCGTCGTCCCTCCACACACAATGCTCGTCAGTATGAAGTCCCGCGTCACTGGCAGTCATTGATAGAATGCCCTATATCTCCAGGATCGAGTTTTGGGGTTCCTTGGAAGGCTTCTCCCCGACGACATACCTACGTCCGATGACGCAGATGAGAGCACAACAGACAATGAAACACCGGCAGGATTCGAGAATCTACCCCTCTGTACGTCCACGTTAGATGTTGGATGGGAGCTCACACTGGCATGATCCTAGTTCATGCTTCGACGCTTCGCTCAATCGAAATTGGCCACGACAACACTGGTAACATTGCATACTTCGACAAGCCAAGTGCCCCTTCATGTACGTCGCCCATACTTGTCTTGCAAATGTGAGGCATAACGAATTTGCGGCTCAGCTTTGCACCTCTCACGCGCAAAAGAAACCACTGTAAAGCGCCAGAAACTCACGAAGGCCGACCGTAGCGCTGTCTTGTCTTCACGGAAAGTTATCGCAACATCTTCAGAGAGTGAAGCGAGCGAGGACAGTGTAACATCTGGAGAAGGAAACCTGCGGCGCCCCTGGAATCCTCGCCCTGATGGTCAATTCACGCGAAAAGTCTCGCGGGCATGGTATGAGGCGGCACAAATTTACTCTTCACGGGGCCTGGGAGGGGCAGGGACGCAGGCCTGCTGATATTCCCGGAAGTAGACGCGCTGAGAAGCCCGAGGATGGATGGCACTCGGTACGGAAATGTCTTGGTGTCATGAAATGCGTAAGCAACACCCTGCGGCGTCATCATTCGTCCGCAAAACAAAGCAGCATGGGCGGGACGGACAGTTGAGCAGAGGATGCCCCGTCTGTCACGGCAAGATTATAGAGCATAAGTGCCGCGTCAAATGCGAGTCTTGGGTTTACCGCACAGGAGCGATCTTCAAGCACCATGGTATTCATCATCACGACAACGCTCCGGCAATACATCTCTCCCAACGCGAGGATCGGAATTTCCAGCAGATTGTCCATGAGCATCCACGAATGGGACCTGTCAAGCTTCTGACGGGCCGGCCGGGAATCAACGGTCCAGGGGATTCTGTTGCGAATATCAGTCCAGTGCTCGACAATCCGGGGCGAATCCAATATGAGCGCCGGAAGCTGATCAAGCCGGCGATTCGTCTCAATAGCAAATATTTCCTACCCGCCCTTGAGAAATTGCGCCAAGAAAATCCCGAATGGACGATTTCTTATGAAGGAAGTAACGGTGTTCAACTTGTCATCCTTCAATCGAACTGGCAACGTCGCATGGCAGTCAAGAACAGCATTTCTACGGAGGCGGTCAATGGGATTGTCACGGATGCATGCCACGATTTCATTTCTATGGAGGCGGTCAATGGGATTGTCACGGATGCATGCCACGATTTCTTCACAGAACGGACGCACCTGCTGTTTCTCAGTTCAACATTCGAGGCACAATTCTTGAAATGTTGGATTCCCATTCTTATCTGTTTTTCGAACGGCGCATCGGCAGAACATTATCGGCTATTTTTTGCATTTCTCTTCGCTGCGATCGTGGCACGGTGCAAAGAGAAGGGTATCAAGTTCACTGATGAATTCCTTGCTAACGTGAGTCAATAATGTCGTCCACGATTAATTGTTCACCTTCCCTCAGGTTGTCGACTTCAGTCAAGCTCAAAGCAAGGGTTTTTCCGGAGCTTACGTTGATCTTCGGCGGAGCCAGGGCTCCAAATGGACAAACAAGACAGATTCCGAGCTGGCACAAATTGGTGGTGCACTCCTGAAAGGATGTCTGCAGCATTTCTCAAACCAGATAACGCGCGTCGCTAAGATTAGTCATGTCGTACCTCCTGGACAGCAGGCCCGATTTCGAGAATTGGCGCAGCGGATGCTCCGAGCAAAGGATCTGGATCAGCTCCACGCCTTCGGTAACGACCTGATGACCGCATTTGAGCATGCTACTCCATGGGCGGAATGGTGGCTGCGAGCCGACCACGCTCGAATGCTGTTCGCTGCAGCGAGAGAGATGGATCCCGCTATCGCAATGAGCCTCCCCGATACCACAAACGCTGCCGAAGCAATGAACAGCCGTATATATGCGATGGCGGAGCGGAAGAACCAGTTGATTCCTGGACTGGCGGCGCTGATTCGTGTTGGTGACACATTTGAGCGACGATACTATGCTGCGAAAGGTGCTTTTAAGTTGTTTCTCGTGACTAATTTCTCACCTGTACAGCGGGAAACAAAATTTTCTACGGTGCCGATCCGCAGCACTGGAAGAAAACGAAGGCAGTGTTTGGTTACACAAAGCATACGCGGCATCAAAGTAGCAAGAAAACTGTTTCGGATGGTCGCCCACCGGATACCATTGCAACGTTGCAAGCTGCCTCACGCAAGGGTAAAAAGACGGTAGCTGATCAATACCAACGGGCCTATAAGTGGGATCAACACTCATGTTCGATCGATTCATCGCTTACCGCAATTTATTCGGCACTGAGTCGTGACCCTACATGGATTCGACGCCTCCAAGATGCCCTACCGATGCCGCACATAATACACTCGGTTGCAATGCTCCTAGAAAAACAGATCTCCCAGTCCTCACATACGGCGTACGAGCCCAACGGTTGTGCAGAGTTGACGAGAGGTCGCGACCTTTTGCGGTTACAACTGGTGAAGATCAAGGCCATGCGGGGTGTTGGACTTTCGGACAGTATTTTGGTGAGGCTGAACATACTCTAGTAATTGAGACTGAGCTTCGATAGGGCTGGCTGAATGAGATACTAGCAGATGAAATCAAAAAATGCAAGTCACGCACCGACATGTCTGGCGAAAATAGCGCTATCGCTCTTCCGTGCCCAAGCTGTCATCGTAAAGAAGTGCCAGGGGGAATCGCCGACCGCTACTGAGCACTGGGAAGTCACCAATCCATTTTGGCGTTCCCCGTTTCGCCTTTCTCGGGATGATCATAAAAGCCATGGAGGTGATCTTGAGAAATGGATGAGATGGGTCATGTTGCCGAAGCAGTGGACTGCCGTCGCTTGCTGGCGACAAGCGGATGGAGGATCAGTATGCGCTGGGCTCGCATTATCAAAGGAGTTCATCATCGGAATCCCGATTGTACTCACCGTCGAACTAGGCGAGGATGGCCAATTCTCCTGGATTATCCCATCACATCTCGCACCGCTGGGCCCGACATTTGCAACGGCGGGGTTGGGAGTCCGGTATAGTCTCTGCGCGGTAATCTTCACAAATCATACGGAGAAACGGGGTGATAACTCACACTTCTTCACCCGATACCACATGGCAAACAGCAACGCAATATACGACTACGATGGAATGAAGCATGCCGGGCACGCGATTCGTTTGACCGGCAAGAAACTAGCTCGATGGATGACCGGGTTGTCGTCCGATTTTCAGTCCATTCCCGAAGGCTACCGCCCAATGGCCATTGTTTACCACCTAGATGGAGGTGAGACCGCGCAAAGGGTGTTCCTAGAACAGCGGGAGAGAACAGCGCCATGTGGCTTACAACTTGGGCGGTCCTTGTCAACGGATCGCTTTTGGACTATCGCACGCCTCGAAGACGCCAATCACCTCGAGGAACTGACTGTCGATGAGCGGGGAGTCTGGGCTGGTACACGACATCGTGCCGAGACCAGGGAGTATACTCGAGACGTCAACAGCTCGCCTGTGAAGCTAACAAAACGGGATCATGAGAAGGGGCTGAAATCGTTGGCAAACCATCTGGCAGCACCTTCGAAACGCATCATGATTACTGACACCAGTAGCGAAAGCGACAAACCTATTGCAGTTCGCAAGGCCCGGCGAAAGATCACAAAAACGGCAAAGGTGCAGTCAACCCCCGAACGAACGGAGCCTGAAGATAAGCGTCAGCCTTTTTCTGACCAGCATCGTGAAACGAGGCTACTCCAACCTAAGAGCTACACATCGTCATTGGGGATCCCTCACGTTCGAAAAACTCGTGATCTGCGGCCCAATTTCGCCAAGTCATCGCAATCTGACGATTCTGTCAACGAATTTTTACTCAAGAGCGCCGCATTTTCCTCACCAAAGGCCGCACCCAGTCTCTCGGAGGACACAGATTCCGAAACCCCTTGCATTTTAAACTGTTGCAGTTGTGGGGAGCTTGGGCTTGACGACACAGATGACATGTGCGTTCAGTGCTCCAAATGTCGATTCTGGAGCCACGAGGCATGTCTTCGCAATGACGCAGACTACAATCGAGACCAGGACTGGCACGATCCGAGCTGCGATTTTGTTTGCAAGCACTGTATTCGTCCCGTTGATCTGTGAGTCTTTTCTGGGCTGCAAGCGAGTTACTCACATAAAGGCCCAGATTTTACCGAAACGAGATCGTTCTTCTACCTAAACCGCCAGCGCGAGTCCCATGGAGTGACAGCTCTGTCATTTGGTACCCTGCTAGAGTCAGGAACACGTCAATAAATCGAACACGGGAACAGTTTACCTTTCGGTCAGTGATATCAGCCCAAAAAATTTAATTCTATAGGAAGTTCCAGCAGATGGAAATTAATTGAAGGCTAGGAACAGTTAGAACTAAGGTAGGCTATACAGCATGGGTAGTAAAATTTAATTCTGTCCAAAAGAAATATTGGTGACTGTATAGGCAGGATTAATTTTGAGATTAATTCTGGATTTGTAATTAATTCTGAATGAAAAATTAATCCTGACAGTAGAATTGAAATGAGAGTAACTGGTGTTGAGTACAAAGAAAGACTACAAGTCAGGCAAGTGTGTATAGTACCACTATGTCAACGTAAGTGGCATTGTCAATTGAGTAAGTGGCAACTTACGGAGTAGTCATTATTATATGCCGCCTTACCTTTCTTACGCAACTTGGCCGCCACCTCCTCAGCTTTCTTTCGCTCACGTTCCTCATCCTTCACAAAGTCATCTGGGAGAGAGCCCTCTATCTCCGCACTGTGCTCCGCAAATCGTGTGTACATCCCTGCTTGCTTGAAGGCATAGGCTTGCCATCCTCGTTCCATCCAGTGTTGAAGATGAGAGTTATTGCTGACTGCCATTGAAGGAATGACATCTAGTGCCGATGTCGGTGAATAGGCTCCAGTGGCAATCTTGGTCCAGATTGTGGCATATGCAGTAAATGCCCGTTGAGTACGCTCAAACTCGGCCTGCAGAATCTCGAGCTCTTCACGTGCACGATCAACAAGCGCCCGGTCACGGAACCACTGGACATGGTCCACTAGATCACGTCAGAAAATGACAAAGCGCCGAAGTGGAAGATCGCACATTCCTTCTCCCACTTCTTACTGTCAGTGCCGCTGGGCTGTTGAGCACGCCAAAACCAAGGCTCGTTCTTCCGTGAATCTCCCACCCGCATATCTAATGCACCCTTTCCGGTTTGGTCCTCCCGGTACAGTGGCTGCAGCATGGCATCATTCTCCGATAGCCCAAGCTTCACCAGCGCATCACGGAGTCGTCGGTAGCGGTGATAAGCCGCATTTTGGAACACACATAGAAAACCACCGTTTTTGTTCGTTTCATGGGTACAGCGCACGTCTAAGAACTGGCATGAGTCCCGAATGGCCAGTTAGGGAGATATCTGCGAGGAGGCGTTTCGATTCGACCGTTGTTGATAGCAACTGGCCGTTCAGAATGACTCTTACAACAACCAAAAACAACAGCAGAGCCCAACCAACATAGAGGATCCATCCAATCCTTTATATATATACCAAAAGGGAGTGTAAACCAAAAGGCATATTCGGTCTGGCACGCGCTGGGGCTCGAACTCAGAACGCTCCGACGAAGGTTCAACCAGGCTTCGAACGGATCAATCCCTGACAGTATTGGAACGCGGTTTCGGAACTTACGCAAGGACAAGGACATGTGGAGGTGCGGTTAAACGGGAAGCATGACTCAGTGGAAACGAGGGCTTGGCTGCAAATTGCGGCGACCTTAACCCGCAACCGTCCAACCGAACAACTCGACAATAGATTGCGATTATCTCGTTAAGAGATTTGCCTAACGGTGTCTGGCGGTTAACCTCAAGTCATGGATATCGATGGAAAGCTAGGAAGTGGAGCAACACGACGATAACAACAACGGTTAGCGGACCGTTCACAAAAACGCATAGACGGTCGCAATAAAGGAGGATTTACAAAGGTCATTGACACCAAACACGCGCTACCGGTCATCTAGACCTGGATTTTCGACTCTGGGCCTTATGGCGAAACGATACCTTACAAATTATGCACATGGACCATCATTCTGTTGTGGCAATTTACCTGATCTTATCATTTTCTGTTTTAGTATTTATATCTCTGTCCTGTATTTGAGCGATTCACGGATTGCCCCGCGTTACTAGGTGCATCTGGGGATCTAGCTTGTCAATATCATCCTGCTAGCTCTTTCATTCAAGTAAAAAGGCGTTGTGATCAAAGAGTTGAGGGTTCCGGTTGCCGTATAAGAGAGTTTCGGTTGGCGTACACTTGGTTTCGGTTGGCGGTCGAGAGTTTAAGGCAGTTAGTTCCTGACTTGAGACGACTCCTTGGGTTTAAGGCAGTTAGTTCCTGATCCAAACGAGTATAAACGGTTCTGGGCATCGTATTGGCGCTTTCCTATTGCTGGATTTCGTCGATAGTACGCTTAAGGACAACCACAAAACAAATCTTTAACAAGATTTCATTCGATCTACCCTACAACCTTGCACACCCGTGTACAGGCTCTGTTTCCAGGGTTCTGCACTCGTATTAGGAGACGGTTATTGGTGGTTGTTGGACGTTTGGAACGGTGTTATACGGTTATCGCTCAGGCAGAACGACTATTTGTTGTTTTGTTGTTGGGTTTTAGTTGTGTAGTGTCGGTCTCATCTCCGGTCTCGTGTATTGCCGTGAATCCCGTGGACATCGTGTTGCTTCACTTTCAAGTTCCAATTCAGTGTCCGGATGGCCGTTCTGAGATCCGCCAGAGCCTCAAACGCCTGAGCATGTCGAAGATCAAACTCCAATGCAGCAAGTTTTTCTAATCTCCATTGGATGCGGATATCTGAATCAAGCATTGAAGGGAGGAAAAGTGATGCGCTTTCGGGGGCTTCGGGGTCAATAACATCCATCATCTCTTCAAGCGAAGGTATTCGGCGAAGAAGGCGAGTTCGGTAAGTCGTGATATCCTTAGCAAGCTTCTGTCGTGCTGAAAGCACCGTTGAGTCGGTGGCGGACAATGCAACAAGCCGTTTAATCTTCTCTCTGCAACTCGTGTCAATCTACAGTCGAATAATTGAGCAGATACACATACTGAGAGTCTTCCGCCTCAAGGCCAAGGCTGATTAGCAGAACGTCACCCTTGCGCCTTGCATCTCCATCAGACAGCGCAGGCTCCTCCTCAATGAGTTTCATATATTGTGCTGCGTGTGTCGGTGGCCCTATAAAGATATATAAGATTTATTGAATTCAGACATCCAACTCATTGGACGCACCATCTTTCCCAAATTGAACCTGGAAGACCGCTCCCCCTTCTCCCACATTTCGCGAGTCATAGATTGCATTCCATTTTGGAACATCTGCTGGGTGACGTTCACGAAGAGCCTTATCGAGCTGCTCAAAGTTTTCGCGTCGTGTTCGCTCCAGACTCTTTGCGTCACGCATTGCGTTCCGAAGGCTTGTTGCTAATGAAAATTCAGGTAAGCTGTTGAAATGAATGTGACAAAGCATACGCACCAAGACGTACAAGCTTATCCCAGTTCCAATGGTCGGAAGTTCCATCAATGACATCGTGACGATGGCCGTCATTCATCTCTCGAGTGCTTCCACCAGTCAAATTGTGCTCTGCCCAGCCCGTTTCAATCAGCTCCCCAGTGAGAAGACCAACGAAGTAAAGGAGATTAAGGTTGAATTCAAAGATGCACTTTTTTTCGTGACCCAAAATGTGCAGTTTACCAATCGCTCCATCAACCTTTTCGAATATTGGTAGCATGTCCGGGAAATTTGTGCGGATTCGCTCGAGGAGCTTGATGCGGTACTGACACCAGATGTCGTATGTCAGTGTAATCCAATGTAGACTCTGAGCTTCTTTCCCTAGTCCATAAGAAAGAGCAAAGTCGGTGAATGCAAAACTAGAATGTGTCAGCAACAACACAGAGCGGGATGCTCATGTACCCTTCGCCCTTGAGCAGGTCGATCATCGCTTGAGGTAGGTAAAAGCCATGGCGGGCACACTGAATTGCGACCACACCACTGATAACACAGTTCTTAAACTTGGCGGTGTTCTGCATCTTACTTGCTTTCAGGTGCGAACATGTTCTGGGCTAAGATGTGTCAGTATAGTCATGCTTGAATGCTTAAGCTATACGTACATCCTCGCTCTTGGGGACCCGCTTCACATATGCTGTTGTTTCCGCTTTCGGGCCAAAGAAGGCTTTGCCGCCATTGAGTGCAATATCGTTCAGATCATCACGCTTATTTTTTCGCTGAAGCTTGAAGTTGCCGTCGGCAGAAACGAACAAGGTGTACTTGTGCCTGCGATTGTCAGGAGTGAAAAGAAGACAAGAACAGTCACATACTTTTCGTTCTCCGGTGCACTGTCGATCATCTCTGCATCAATATTGAATCCAACTTCAGGACAGGCAGGACAGCGGAGAGCCAGACTCTGAAGGCGGCGATGTGGGACATGCACGTCAAAGTTATGCGCCTGTCCGGTCCGCCGTTCAAGTGCCAGGTACCGCCATAGGCGACACGCAAATAGGAACTCGCGATACCGTTTCTGTGGTTGGTGTGAGCAGACGTGAGTATGTCTCCATACAAAGCATACCTCTACAGTGTCAGGTGCCTCATTGTCCGTCAGCTGACAGAGAGCCTTGATATAGTCGTAGGCCGACTTCTTTGAGGCAAGGGCATGAACCTGAAACTGCTTCAGGACGCCGAATGTGAAGGCTGTTCGAGGTTCTTTGAATGTGGCAGGGAAAAGTCGAACAGCCAAAAGCTGCTCCCAGCGCTCGGCTGCTCGTTCGGGACACTGACACCACTGGATTGTTGCTTCTTGGAGCCCGCTTTCGTGACAAATGGTGAGCGGCGTACGAGGCGGACTTGATGCTTGACTGGTATGCGGACAAGATTGGCCACCACAGCCAGGGTGGATAGGGATAGGTTGGTCGTATAGACGAGGAACAAAGCGCTGTCCATCCCACATTTCAATATGGTGAAAAGGATTAAGCTGGTGCGCTTTCCAAACACATGATTGACACCATAGTGGCGAGTTGAAACAATCCAGACAGCGGAAGGTGGGTGAGACTTGGGAGCCGCATTCACATTTTGCTGCTCCGAGGCCAGGATGCACAAATCCGGCAAGAATGTACTTTTGGATGGTTGGTAGGAATGGTAGCACGGCGGTCATAGCAGCAGCCTGGCCCTAGCAGAGAGTAAGCCTTGTCATACGGAGAGAAGCTGTACATACGCACCTGCTTTCGCTCTTTCGGCACCTCCTCTATCTCTTCTGTTGTTGCCACTGCAGGTTCGGCAATTGGCTGAGGAGCATGGCCTGATAAAGGCGGCGGAAGCTCCTCATCTTGATTCCAGCGGGCCTCCGCACCCTTGGTGAGACGCTTCGAGCGAGAGGTGGACCCTTCTGGTTTGGCAGGAATCGATGAAGTGCTTGGAATAGAGGCGACAGATCCAGACGCAATATCCAATTCGGAATCAGCAGAAAAGCGAACGCCAGCGACACCAGGACCCTTCTTCTTCCTCCGCTGTCGAGGAGAGTTCTGCTCCTCTCGCCCTCGTTTCCCGGTCAGCGACTCGGACATAACAGAAGAAGTCAGGAGTAAGTGACGACTGCACTGCCTTACTTGGGTAATCTTGCTCACGTAAGGATTTCGCAAAGCCGGTCAATTTTCGCTCAACAAACTATAACGCTGCTACATAGTAATATAATGGATGCAGTGGTCAAAGAGGCCAGTCTGGCATGTTACGAACTCCTGCCACTCGGATATACAGCACCTCACCATGCTCGAGTGGAATTTTTGTATTAACATTGGCATGAACCCAAGCAGCAGACTTCTTCGAGTTCCCTTGCTGGTATTTCTCAAGGGATGTGTCAGCAGCCCACCCGGCATCATTAAGTGCCAACGTGTTTGCCTTGGTCGAAATTCGGACCTGTTTCATAGATCTTGGGTCCTTCGTACGTCGAAACATAAGCTTTACGGCGGCTTTTCCACTCTGCAAAGTTACTTCACTGAGATATATAGCTTCAACAGCCACATACCTCTGGCCAAAACCAAACTTGGGCTTCGTTTTCACTGGTGTCCTTAATGTGGCGGGGAGGAGAGCGAGTGCGGGCTGACACCTTGTTCTTGGGAGCGATGGTTGTGGTGGGTGCTCCAGCGCGATGTTCAGGATAGACAACAGCCAATGTGGGTGTTTTTCGCCATTTTTCAGCCTACTTAACTCTCGTCTGGCGCATGGACGTGGCATTCACCATTGTCCCCACTCCCTCCCCACCACCCCGTGTACAGGTGCAGGATAACACACCTCCAAGCTCTCCACTCACGGAACTGCCTCCATCTCCACCGATACCCCTTCCACCACCCTCTCTAAGTAGCCGCGGTCGCGGTCGTTGGCGCGGGCGCACACGTGGGCGCGGGCGCGGCGCTGTTGTTACATCCCCACTAGTCACACGATCGCGGAAGCGTTTGCGGAGCCCCGGAAACGAGACGGACCGTCGTCCCGCCAAGAAGATTCGTGCCCAAGGTAAGAACTGGATTGAGTATGAATCTACCAGTGACGCCGATGTTTAAATAACTACATTCTAATGAAATGACATGATATTTATCATCTCAAGTGCAAGATTAATCTGACTTGGATTAATTCTATGTCTTCAATTAAATTCTACGTCCTTAATTAATTCTGAAGTGAGCTCAGGATTAATCTATTATGCAGAATTAATTCTAACACTCGGCAGTTGTGCACTCAAGTTAAGTCTAGCAAGTCGTAGCCTACAATTAATTTCTATCCGCTAGAAGTTGCTAACAAAATTAAATTTTTTCAGCGGGAAATGATGTTTCGGTACATCAATGGAATCGTGTGGCCGGAGCCTCAAGACCCGCTCGCCCGGAGGACGTTTATCCCTCCGATGATGACCACACTGTCGCGCCAGATGTGCAAAGAGATAATCGGGCATCCTATTAAACCTGAGCAGGTACAGATAAGCATAAAATAATAGTTTGAGACTGACAAACGTTCAGGTTTGCTGTTTTGCCGTACCTTCATTCTTGACGACAACCGATGTCGCTACCCAGCAGCGGCTTCAAGCAATCTTCTCCTCCGCCGTCGTGCAGCTGGCGGAGCTCCTGCGTCGCTTCCCTCCGGACCATACAGTCATCCATTCTTACCTGGTGTACTTCGACAATCGACCTGCAAGTGCTCGGGACCACAAAATCAGTGACTGGCTCGAATCTGCACAGCTGACTGCCACACCTGAGCTGGAGGAAGCAATGCGCCATCCTCTAGAACAGCTTTGCAACCCCAAAGTCGTCGTCATTTCTGGGAAAGAGCGTAAGCGCAGAGTGATGGCAGTCGGGAATGCCCTGCTTCAGCTCCTAGCACTTCAAGACGAGATGGACCTGCCATTAGATCTGAACGGCGCCACATTCCAGGAGCTAGTCGAGGGGAAGATCTTCCCGTTGCCATGGGAGAGAGATCATTGGGAGATGCGTCGTGCGATGTTGCTTGCGACGAGACCACCGGAGCTGATACACAAGTCAAAATGGAGCGAGGCCACTCTTGCAGAAAGACTCACCGAGTTCAATCGCACGCACATCGTTGAAAAGGGAGATTTCCGCCCCAGCCGCTTCTATCGTAGCGAACTTGAACCTGGCTCCGACATAAACCTAGAGCCGATTCCCATCAGCGCACCGCCAAAGCAGTCGTTGCAAGACGTGGAGATGTTGGACACTGAGACGACGCAGGCAAAGCCACCCAGCCAGGTGAAGCGAAAGCGTGTCTCGTCCGATGACGAGCTGATACCCGTCGAGCAAATGTTGCGCCGCTCGCGCTTCAGGGAGTTTCCCCAGTTGAAACGTTGATGCATGAGATGTACTAGTCGTCGGAAATTGAATGAATTGACTAGTGAATTGTCGGCCAGCAAGAAGCATGGAGGGAGGAAGAGACGTACGCTGATTGATGTCAAGGTGACATGATGATGTGACCTACACGTGCACGATGACGATGTGACGACGTCGACGTCGACGTCGCAATCATCACGATCACTCAAGTTCGATGACGGCGGTACAATTCACGGCAGTTCGCAGCGGATGGCGGCAAAGTGAGTAGTGCCGCCTCCATAGTTGGCGGCGAAATGTATATCCGTGTCAAAACATATACTTCGCCGCTACCCAGCCGCTACTCGACCGTGTGACGGTGGCGGAAGCGTGACAGGGGAAATCGGCGATGGGGTCAAGGGCAGCGGCGGTTCGCGGCAGGTGGGCGGCGCGCAGCGGCGAAATCTATCTGCCCATACGAACGCACCAGTGGCTGTTGGCAAGAAGCGTAAATTCAGTGTCGAGGAAACGGAAAAGGTCAAAGCGGAGGCCGATGCAAGTCTGCGCAACGCCTTTGGTTTCGGCAACAAAGTGTGAAGGGGTTCAGGCAGAAGAAGTTCCAAAAATTGTACATTATTTAGCTGCTTACGAATTAACAATGCTTGGCCGAGCAAAATTTATATGTCTGTCTATTAATCTGAGCGCGACTCGACACAAATAGTGCTGTCCACAATTATATTATGCTAGAATATATTTTGAATATATTCGAATAAATATGATTATATTATGCCCTTTGCATATTCAGACCCATTGAATATGAGTGATTATGAATATGAATATATTATGAATATAATATATTATACCCTGGCCATAATTAATTATATTCAAATACACCAGCAAGCCCTTCAGCCAGAGGTACTAGCTCTGTAGCAGGCTACTAGCAGCAGTAGCAACATCTTCAAACTCAGTCTTTACCATATCAATGGCTTTTGGCAGTAAATCAGGCCGGACAATATCCATATCCAGCCCTGACAGAAGGCTGAAGTTGACCTTTATATTGCTACCCTGGACTTTGATGATACTCTTCGCTGGTGAAGGTATCATACTTGACCTAGGCTAGAGTTTTGTTCAGCTTAATATCTTGTTGTAGAATATCCAGGCTATGTTAATAACCAGGATTGGTAACTTACCAATCCTGGTTATGGCTGCAAAGAGCATCTCTGTAGGGCACCTGGTCTCCAGACTCCAGCATCAAGCATAGGATGACAGATATGCATGCCTCAATGACTGCAAAATTGGCCACAGAAACAACCATAACCAAGGAGTGGTTCAATAAACCATGAGATAAGGTGGATTATATGCACTATGTGCAGACTTGTGAAGCTTGAATATAATTGAATATATTCATAATATATTCATATTCTGAGCCCAATTATGATTATGAATATGAATACAATTATAATATGCTCCAGCAGAGAGAATATATTATGAATATGAATAAATTATGAAAATTTCGTATTCATAATCATAATTGGACAGCACTAGACACAAACGGTAGCGGGCCTCGCCGGCATCGGCTTTACGCTCCTTATTTATTTATGGCCAGTGCTAATAGGATCCTTTGGCTTGAAATGTTATCTAGTATGGCTTGAAGGCCCAGCTCTACCAGTCTCTAGATCTAGATTTTTTGCTTTACTTACTGGCACGACAGCACCTTAATGAGCCTGCTACAATCCACTCACCGTTCCTAGGTCAATCTATTCCTCCCATCTGGTTTCACAAGCTCTGACTGTAATATTGAGACAAAACATCTAAAAAACGACGGATTGTGGGGCAAATGCACCTCCGTTCCCTTTTGGTGTCACTCTACACACGTTGATCCATGGGTGGGAACCGCACAAACAGCGCCGCATCGCCGTACGAGTGGCCCATCTCCGCCTGGTTCCCCATCGCGATGAACGGCGAGTCGGCACGGTTGAGCTTGGCCTTGGGCCTCGTCACCCAAAATACCGCCGTCCGCTTGTCGTTCCGCCCTCCGTCTGTATCCGAGTCTGCATCCTCGTAGTCCTCCGAGTCCGTCTCCTCGTAATCATCGTCTTCGTCGTCTGCCTCCTCCATAGCTTCCTCCGGCCTTGCGCCCTCCGCAGCTTTCCCGATGTCCGCCTCCGTAGCCGGGCGCAGCACCTCGCCCTGCCGCTCGAGCATTTGCGCCACCTCCCCGTCTTCGTCCCATACGCTCCCGAAGTTCATGACCTTCTCGAGCACGACGTTCTCCCCGCCCTTCCTATCCCAGCCTCTTGGGGTCTTGTATACCAACTTGACGAAGTTTTCCAGGCCCACGCGGGCAGCCGCGCTCTGCAGCCGAGCATCAGCGCCTTTCAGGACGGTAAGCACGGCGGCGAGCGTTGCGGGGTCGGACGCTGTCTTGGGCACGGGGTACTGATGTTCAAGACCGAATCCAAGCAGGCCGCCCGCTGGAAGGAATTTAGGGTTGGCCAGCAGCGCGCGCAGTGCTGCTTCAGAGGCACTTTCGGGGACAGAAAGCTGGCGAGTAGCCATGGGTGTGTCCACAAGGAAGAGATTGTAGGTCAGCGTCACGCGGTAGCCGCTAACCACCTGCTCAACGGCATGGGTGACGTCGCTGAAGAAGGCCACAAAGGCGATAGAGCCGGGTTTGTTGGCGAGAAGCGCCGCAGAGTCGAACGAGAAGGTGTTGCTTTCGCCATGCGAAAGTGAGAGTTGGCCACCAGCGTGCGCGGAGGGGAAGACAATGACGAGCGAGCCGATCATGTCGGCGGCACGCGGGGTGTCCTTGTGTGCTTTGAAAAACGAGCCGGGGCCTGGCGGCACAGTGAGTCAATGAGCGGAATAAGGACAACAGACGAACCGTAAACGTTGAGCTTGTAGAGCTCCGCCCTGATGCCTTTCTCCCCCACATCGTCCCGCCCATCCAGCAAGTCGGGACTAATCGCCTCCACGAGTCGCAGCGTGCCAAGGTCCAAAGAAGACGCAAAGTCGGCGATATCGAGTTTCCCCGCCTTGCGATAGCTCTCGTCGAGGACGTCTTCTGTTCCCAGGCCAAACGTCGCTGGGGTACACGCTTTCGCAAGCTCCTCCAGCTGCTCCTCCGTCGTCGCCCCGAATGTCAGAGAGCTGTGGTGGACACTGATGAGCAGTTCACAGAGGGCAGAGAAAGAGCGCACCGTGCATCCCTAGCACCCTGCCCCTGTCTGTAAAACAACACGAGGTCGTCGGGGCGGACGTCGAGCACGCCAGACGTCCAGGGAGTCGACTTGCGCAAGGAGTCCCGCAGAACCGCAAGGTGGTCGTGCGCCGTTTTCTGTTGTGACATGGCCGCCAGGTGGAAGGTGGGGCCGGAAAGCACCCCAGCATTCTCTTAAATGTCCCCCCTACTACCGATCGTCGATCGTGAGACGAAGTGAGTCAGGGTCGTGTGAGCAGCTCGCACGGCAGGGCGGCACGCGCCAGCAGAAACGCTACTTGTCGCGCGTGAGCTATTGGAACGTTGTGTGGGCGTGCAACGTGGCAACGAGGACCACTGGCAGTAAGTATCCGAGCCATGGCTTCTGGAGATTGTGACTCTGTGAGGCGCTAGACCCCACTGAAGAGGTAGCGTATTGCCTTTGAAGCTTGCGTTGCTGGCCCCACAGAACGGGACTGCGCGTCGCAAGCCAGTTCGCAGAGAGGGAGAAAGGAAACAGAAGGAAGGAAGGATGACTCAGTATGATCGATCGGTGCTGATGATGACCAATGGGTTCTTCGTCATCGGACAAATGCGAGAGCTGACTTGGAGCTGACTGGGACTGCTGCTTGCTCATCTAACATTTTTACGTGGAATGTACAATGCAAGCATACTCATCGTCATCTCCGCGGCGAACACGCAGACGGGGACCAGGCTGAGGCTGGTCCGGAGTATATACGAGTTTGGTGGGAGTGGGACTCGCGCCAGTCCCACTCCCGGAGATGATTGACACCGGCTAAGGCGTTTTGGTGGGATTCGAGCGATTAAAGTGGTGTTTGGTGGGACTCAACGGATCACCACAGTTGCTGAAATTTGAATAACTTTGATCGGGTTGCGGCGCCGGCCGCGGCGGCCGGGGTTTTCCACCCCGGACCCCGACCGGGGCTTCGCCCCAGACCCCACGCTGCCGCGGGCAGCCGCTCGCCCTGCGCAGTGCCATGATTGATTACATCTCTCATTTATTGATTCAGAATCAATCAAATGTGGGCTGAATCCCACTGGGGCGCACTCAGTCCCACAGATCAGGTGGGAGTGGGACTGGCACGAGTCCCACTCCCACCATTCTCGTGTACCCTCGCTGGTCCGCTGTGAGACTCGAACCAGCGTCGATCGTCGGACATGATGCCCGAGTGACTCCCACGCTGTGCCAGCTTTTCCTTCGCCTTCATGGAGTACGTTGCCCGTGGACCTCGCAGGCGCCAGAGTCTTTGCCTCAGCATGCTTCACGGATCCACGAACGACTTACATTGCCAGCGCTAGCCTTCCGCTCAGAATATTAATCTCGGCGCTGGGGGTCAGGCTTGGCTGTGGGGGGACCCACCTGTCGACGGCGACGGACCCCTTCATTGTCGGTGTCGCAGTCCTTCCGTTCATTCCTTTCCTTTCCGAGCGTCATCCACGCACATCCGAGCCTTCTCGTCAGCACCAATGACGCACACGCACCAAGCCTCTTCATCTATCAAGAGAGTCGCTGCAGGCGATCACACGCCGCCAGTCCACGTATTCGTATTCGGAGTGCGATTTTCGGTAAATTGCCGTCGATCCTCCTCCCTTGCCAGACGACAGATTGCGCAGTCGGGGCTGTCGGGCGGATCCGGATCGTCCGAAAAACAAGGGCCATGTGAGGCAAGGCAACGATGGAACCGGGCCTCGCACCACTGTCGCTTTGCGCCTGCAAGATTGCCCGCAGCGACGAAGATGGCCGGGCTGACGCGTCCGATGATCGAGCGGACAACGATTTCCGAATTGGGGTGTAACGCATCAGGCTGTGGCACCCAGTGGGCGCTCGAGTGGAATATTAATGCCGTGCTGCAACGCGTAGATTCCGCGCGCAGCCGTTAGATGTGCGCGACTAACAGCAGTACGTCCTCAAATGGCTTCCTCCGGTCCCGCTGACGAGGACGAGCTCGATGAGTCATCTTCCAACTCAATTGCCTACTAAGCGAGTCAGCGCTAACTCAAGTGTAGGATCGACGCGAAGGTGCATCCTTGTTGGGTGTGGGAAGATTAGTCAAATGGCAGGGTGGCCCGCAGAAAAGGTACATAAACGCAGTCGTTGGACCGTCGGAAGCAATTCGCATGTCTTCATCCTCAACCCTCCGTCGCTCCGATTCCGGCTCCGCAACTGCGCCAAAGCGCGTAAGGACAACACAAGCATGTATCAACTGTCGACGGCGGAAGCGCAAGGTTAATTGATTACTCTACCTATACTCGTTGTTCAACCGCTTATTCTCCTTAGTGCACGCCTTCTGCCGACCCAAACAGCGCGACTTGCGTCAGATGCGAAACGCAACACCTTGTCTGCGAGTTTCCCGCGCCAGACGCGGACGAAATCGCGCTCGCCGCACACATCCAGCTGCATCCCGCGCCGATACCCGCCTACGGCTATCGCGGGCCGGCGGCGCCGGGCTATCCGGGTCCCGGCTATCCTTACCCGTATGCGGCGCCGTCGCGGCCCGGATCTACGGCCCCAGCGCCGCCGCCGGGCTTCCATGGCCAGCCGATGTATGGCCCCGGGGAGCCATTGCCCTACACAGGCCCGCCACCCCCACACATCCGCCCAAGATATTCCAACGGGACGCCGTATCCGAATTTGGCGTTGAGCAATGAGCAACAGGCACAAGGGCAAATGGGCGGCCAAGAGTATGGCTATGGGGGGTACACTGGGGCGGACTACACGCAGAACTATGACGGGGCTTACCATCATGGACCTTAGTGACTCCATCGATGCATCCGCTTTCTTCTTCTGTAGACTGTGTTGTGATTAATGTGGCCTTTCCGTTCTTGAGTGCAGTGTTGCACAGCCTGAGGCTTAATATATATATATATATATTAGATGAACCACACTTTACTGCGGAGTTTTCTCGACTTGTCGATCTGACTCGGACGCAGGACGAATTGAATAATAAACGATGGAGCTAACTCAGCCAAGCCTCAGCTTCAAGTTGCAGCTATACTGGAACATGATTGAATTATTGAGGCCCAAGTAACCTGCACTGTGACATCACTGACAGATTTCCGAGAAGTCATTCAGGCCATCCGCAGCACGCGATGGATATAAGCGAGCTGGTTGTTTTGCCTCTGCGTGATGCAGATGTTCCACCCAATTCCGAATCCCTCGTCCGCTGTCGCGCGCGCGCAGTAGTCCGCCCACACGTTGTTGTCAAGGATGCCTTCTAGCAGTGGCGCAGCGTCGCGTAGGCTAGTGAAGTATGCACCCGACACAAACGGGCGGGGATCGGCGGTGTCCGAGCCGAGGTTTTTCTGGCGGTCACGGTAATCAAATACAGCAACCGCAGGCCGCCCCAATGCTGCGGTGGAGTGATCCCGCGAGTACTCCTGCGCCATGAGGAAGCGGACAAAGGAGCGGCTGGTGGGGGTGGTCCAGTCCTGTAGTTCTGCCAATGTGGGGTTCAATAATGATATCCTTCACAAGAGACTAAACAACCGACCCGTGTTTGCGTCACAATACTTGTCGCACATCTCTCGGTGATTACCTGTGGTCCAGTCGGACCGCTGGCATGCTGGGGAGCAATAGTAGCGAAAGCCACAGACAGAGCATGCACGTAGCTCTTTTTTGTCGTTAACGGGGCACTGTCACGGTTGCAATACTTAGGTAACGAAGAGATAAAATAAGCTGCAACAACGCACTCCGATTCCATCACAGAGCCTATGATTGCGCTCCTCCCGCATGTTCCAGAGGAGTAAATACTCGGCCTGCGGCTTAACCCGGGTAATGAGGGTGGAGAGCAAATACCGGAGCTCGGGGGAGGACACCTGATGGAGCGACTGCTCAATATTATTGTCGCGGATGTCATCGGCGAGCCCCTTGACGATTTGTGGGTCCACAAGCTCTGGGAGGAGAACGTCGCGTATAATCTCTTGTACATTGTTTTCGAAATCCGTGTAACCTCTGGCCGAGCGTGCAAGTGCCACCAAAGAAGAGAGGAGGCCGCGTGAGGCGGCAGACTGCAGGCGGCCCGAGGACGGTTCCGAAGTGAGGAATACTCTCAAGAGTAAAAGACATTGATGCTGGGTCTCTTGATAGATATCCTCGTCAACCGTCGCGCTTGGAGGCAGTGCAAGGATACCCAGGGCACTCGTGAGCCCAGCAGCATAATTGGCGTCCCTCAATGCACCAATAAACTTGCCATAGTCGTCGTCTTCGTCGTCGTCGTCGTCGTCGTCGTCGTCGCCTAGGAGATTCACCGTGGTACGCGTAGCTAGAATAAACACATCAAGGCAAGTCATGGTGTGTTCAGTCACTGTCTGCGGTTGGCGGTTGGGCCCCGACCAAAGACGGGTGACTGTACGGAGGGCCCGGCCCAAAGCCATACCCCACCGTCGTGCACCGCCGGCACCTTCGAGGAAGAGTGGGATATCCATGTCGTACACCCCGTTGTGCCTGCTCAGATCGATGAACGTGAATATCAGAGCGCGAGCCTCGACGGCAAGAGAAATGGGCTCATGCGCGATACTCTTGCTCTCGAAAATCGCAGTAAGTTCTTGTCCCAGGAGGAAGGAGAACCGCCGGTCGTTCCAAATGGAGGGAATTTGGAGGCCCCTGAGATCCGTGACCCAGGCATCGGCGCCATGGACCATGAAAATCCGGACGAACGTTCGGCTCAGCCGCATTCGAGTCGCTGCCACAACCGAGCCGTAGGTGTTGAAGAAGTCTACCCACAGTAAAAGACGGAGCCATAGTGCGGTATACGCCGCCGTTTTCATCGGGTCGACCTTCTCGAGAAAGAACGCCAGGTATGCCGCCCCGTCCGCCATCGCCGCCTCCGCCGACGGGGCCAGCTCCGCAACCTCTTCAGCGGGCGGAATGTTGGCCGGGTCCATGAGGAAGAAGAGCGCAGGTAACATATGCGTTGCCTCGCGGCTGCCCGGGGGAAGCTCGTCTAGGATTGCTTTAAATGCCTCGATGGCGTTGTGGGGGCAATCGCGCACACATACGCGTCGCGCAAGAAGCTAAAGGGACGGGAATTACGACCAAGCACGCGTCGATGAAAAGGCCTTACGCGGGGGCGAAGAGGGAGTAACTCCAGACGCGCGAGTTGCAAGTCGGGATGTGGCACCGTCCGGGACATGATGGGAGGAGAGAACCCCCGATTGCCGATGTCACGCGATGGGTGTCACGCGATGGGATGATGGGGTGTCACGCGGGCCAGATCCGGCCGGCCAGATCCGGCCAGATTGTCAACAATTTCGATTTTCGACCCTGCCCAATACTTACTCCTCCTGTTGAATATACATGAGTTGCTTCAGGATGGAGCCCGGGTGCTCAACTTCTTGGAGGTCGAGCAAGAGCATAAGTATGAACTGTCAGTAGTATTTTTTACAAACTGCTTATACCACCACCACCGCATCATTGCATGCCATGTCACAGTTTCCCATGTCAACGGGTGCACTTTAGGAAGGGTTTCCGGCCCAAGATTTGACCGACAGCCATGACTGATGAAAAAATTGGTTGCCTTGAGGTGGGTGTGATGCGTGACCGACGAATTGATTAAAATACTACTACAGTAATGATATGTTATTTTTATTAAGCAAGATTTCCCCAGCAGCCAACCAGCAGCCAAGCAGCCAATTTTTGCCCACACTCAGGTCCCACATATCATTTAGTGCCGACCAAATACAAATACAATAGCCAAATGGTATATCATATTTTATTGGTATCGTATCGGCAGCTTCAACCACGTATCATATCTGTATCACAGATATTAAACTACGCCATCAGAGGTCCCACTTACCTTCAAAGTACACTTTAGTATGCAGAAGTGCTCAAGGGGGGTTCAAGTCTCGAATCATGGATATAGGGTCGGAAAGTTTTTTTCCGACCCCTGGGGGACCCCCCCCTCCTGCCATATCGGGTAATATGTTCCCACGATTCGCGTCATGTGATCACTGATGCGATCAAAAGGTGGGATAAAAAATTCAATCTTTGTGAAACTTTTTTTTTTTGCAAATTTTTCTATATATGTGCATGTGTATATGTGTATGTATGTATGTACCTGGAATCTTCAAACATACATGGCAGGCCATATTAACTCTTCAACATGTTCACCTCTCATCTATTACCTGATGATGGGCCTATGACAGAGTGGGCTATCCAAGCTCATGGGCCTGAAATTAGCTCATGGCCTGGGGGTATATGGATATAAGTATGAGAGTTGTGAACTATAGAAAGTACAGTGTATACACTATATTTCTAGTGTCTTTACACCCATATAAGGCCCAAATCTTTTATATACAAAAAGTTTTTGTTACCCCCTGGGACCCCCCCCCTACCCCATGTGCCTGATAAGGATCTTGAACCCCCCTTGGAAGTGCTCCTAGAAGCTAGCAGAAACTGGTGAGCTTCAATATAGATGATTTCTACACTGATGATTCAAGTTTCCTATTAAACTGATATGATATAATACACACACTGAAACTATGGATCGTATCCGTATTTTGACTGATATATTTAAAATATATCAGTTGTATTGTATCCTTCACACCCAACACACTTCCCTCTGCGCCCTTATCATGCCTGAGCAAGGTGGCCAGGACATCCAAAAAGAGGTCACTCATCCCATGCTGCTCTATAGAAGCAAGAGCCAAGTTTAATATGTTAAGTATTGAGCAAAATATCCATGTGTGGGAATGGCTGGGCTGAGTATGGGAGAAAACTTAGCCATTTGGCTGCTGGGAAAATTTCACTTAATAAAAATAGTGCTGGCCAGAATTATATTATAGTTGATTAAATATTGAATATAGTCAGAATATTATGAATATATTATGCTTTTGGTGGATCACTTGAATATAATTATATTTGAATATATTATATTATATTATATTATGGTTATACTATATAGTGGCCACAGAATATTCAAATATAGTAAGGTGGATTGTGGTAGTCATTTTCCCAATCTGTGTGCCTACTAATATGACTAAACTTAGTCTGATTTAGACATACAGTCACATACAGTGAATTAATGTATAGTCATTCCATGAACTTTGAAGCAATGTACTACCACTATGGTAAAAATGAGTTTCAAATCATAATCACTTTGAATATACTGTAGTATTTTACTCAATTCGAATGCCAAAAATGGTGTGACATCTGATACGAAAATTGGAATTCGAATTATTTCCTAATTAGGAAGTTCTTGGCGCCGGAGGCGCCCGGAAATGTCATAAATTACCTTTTTGGGACAGGAATTTGAGCAAAAATTTCGAATTTTATAGCCTGTGTGACGCGTGACATACGAACTGAGTAAAATACTACAGTAGCGTAGGACCTATGATCAAGTTTCTACTAGGCACTGACCAGCTTAATCCTCTGAGCAATGTCCCTGATTGTGTTTTGAGAGTCCTTCTACATAGGTCTAAAGGGAATTAAAGAGGCCTGAAAGCAAGTTGCCCTCACAGTGGAGAATTTTCATATGGCAACTAGGTCAAATTTATATAGGATAAGCATACTAAATTAGAGTTGAATGCATTCATAACATAATTGTATTTTGCATTTAAATATGATTATACTATACTACAAATATCTATTATTGTGTTGAGGCTCTGAATATGATATCATTATAATATATTATCTCCCAAACATAATATAATTTTATTTGGTCAGCACCCAACAAAAATATTATATCCTACGTTTCCCTCTTGCTCAACCCCTAGAAATTAAGCACCCCTATTAGCAAGTGTTGACAATTTAATCTTATATTAAGCAGATTTAATTTTTTCTCTCTCTATATATAGTCTGACATTTTTCTCAGTAACAATTATGGAAAAAACTTGAAGCTTTTTTTTGATGTTTTTCAGGTAAAGGTTGCCAAAAAAAGTTCAAATTTTGACTTAGAAAAAATTTATTCAAAAATTTCAAATTTTTTACCTCACTTTCCACAGGGAAAAAATTGTGGAAACAGCCCAGTGCTGTTTGGTCCACCACCCAAAGGCATGTGCGCTTACACACTACTCCCACGTCAAGGCGCGCCAACTACACAAGCCTCAACAGCCCTATACCAAGCCACACTTGCCAGCCCAGTGGCACACGTCATTTGCAAAGCCGGAAAAGTGACCAAAGACCTTCCTATAACTGAACGACACAGAAAAATGAATATATTGTCTGCCTCTATTCAGTCTCTCTAATTGTCATCTCCGCTTCTACAGACCGTGGCTTGATGGAGCATTTGAATGGAACCGGTTGTCTGCCCAGCATACTTAGTCAGTGTCCAGATCACAATAGCGCTAGTGATAACCCCACCTGATCAAGCCCTCAACAAACTCGTTGGGAGGTTCTACCATGGCTCCGCTCTCGTCGACTGCATGCTTGATGTCAAACGACACCAGGATCGAAACAATGGTTATCCACAGGGACGACAACGCAAGATATTGCCCCGCGCAGACACGACGTCCGGAACCCAAATCCAAACTGCCAGGTGTCGCTATGCATTTCAGGATTAAGGGCGCCTGAAGGAAGGAGCCAGCGGTCGGGAACAAAAGATTTAGCGTCGGGATATCGTTCCTGCAAGAGTAAGTAAGAACAGTGGAGAAGGGCCGCCCATTTGACGCACTTCATCTTGGAGGATTGCCCTTGTCGTTATGAGAAAGAGAAATAGGTGAATCCAGCCAATACTCACCAAATATTCCCAACAACGATCGATTGCGCCGGAATCCTGAACCCTCGATACTCATCTTCGGTCTCGATAAAGTGAGGCACTGGAGACTAGTGAGTTTTGTTGGGTGAAAATAATGCACAGCCGCCTACCAAAAGGAACCGTTGGCTGCCAGCGGAACAGCTCTCTTATAATGGCCGAAACAAACGGCATGGTTGTATCGGACTCTTTAAACATCTCGAAGCCTGGTAATCTCCCGCCGCAGACAACATCGATTTCCGACTGAGCTCGGCGTTGTGCCTCTGGATTCGCAAGCATCGCAAGCATAAACTTGCCCAGAACAGCAACAGTCGTGTCTGCACCGGCACTATAGGTGGTCGCAGCGGCATTCTTGATGACTTCATGCTCTATGGGGGTTGTTGCGGTGAGCAGTGAAGATGTAAACGATGGGGGCGCATCCCCAGTGGCCTAGAGGCATAAGATCAGAAGACAGGTTCGGGGTATGAAAGGTTAACGAGCCAGTTGTCGCTTCGTCTCGTCGAATGGCTGATTGACCAGAGCTATGGAGAGTTTGCGCCATTCGTGAGCTATGCGCTTGAAACCTGCTCCGGGAACCCAGCGCGGTATATAGAGCAACACTGGAATCATGTCCTGTACCAAAGCCATCAGTATATCATGGGCATACCAAAATTGAAGTCCCAGCCCATGAGCTCATTAAGCATGGGAAGCCGTGGTCTTAACGAAGGTGAGAAATTGAAAGCCAATAATAGCGTCTGATGGGCACCTGTCTGAATACAAGGTCGACCTCTTATCGAGAAGATCGGTAGTCGCCGCAATGGAGGAGAGAACAACGATAGATGTTCCAGCGGCATCGAGGTGGATAATATCGGAGTCTGACCGATGCTCAATCAGCAGGAGTTTTAGGGGACGAAGTCGGAACTTGGAAGTGGACTGACTGCACTCTTTACTCCACCGCCAATACGTCTCCCATTCCGAGCTGACCGGCATGTCGAGCAGATTTCCTAGAAGCGGAAGCTTGGGTGGTCCCGGCGGCAAAGGGAGGCGGTTGCGGCGGCGTCGCGATAAGTGGAGCAAGCCGACAAGCATCCCAGCAACGAGGAGAAAGGAGGGAGAAGATAGGTGTAGCATCGCTGTTCGAGGAGCGGCTCAGGAGCCTGGGGCTGCGGCGGATTGTGGGTGGCCTGTTCCGTCGGAAAGCGAGTTTGAATACTATTTCAAGTTGGGACAACGGTACCGTGCATGCGGTCGGCGCTATTGTCCTCCGGCGGGGAGATAAACACGAAAATTCAAGCTTTCAAAGGTCATTCAGCCTGTTAACCAAAAGAAGGCGAAGGCCACGAACCGCCCTGACATTGATGACACCAACTCAGACCTTCCAGTGCGAGCAAGGCGCTTGTCGGTGTCCGGCCCACTTGTATGAAATCATTGTCACTGGTCTCCCAGTGTCGTGGAATGGCCGTCGTCCAGTTTCATTCAAGTTTCTCCGGTGATCTTGCGGGAGGTTACAAGTATATGCCACGAGTTGTGGCCATGAGCATGGCGAACACTGTATGCTACTAGTCGTATAAGCGACCGATTTTTTGTTAAGGAAAAAGGTACTCACGAACGATAACCACCGTGACGAGGGCTTCAGAGACTTGGTTGAGAGGTTGTGTACTAGCATAATGGCAGCACCGTCGTTGACCGGCTGGGGCGGACATCCAGCGACTTGTTGTCAACGTCGGAAGCAAAAGAAGTCACATCGCCAAGTCACATCTTCGATAGCTTAGTCAGCCGACACGTTTCTGTCGTCGACGGCCATCGGACTTCGGAGAAGAATGCTGTGGGCTGCTCGGCCTCTCTGAGACTATCTATGACGCTTCTTCTCGCCCTCTTTGGATGCAAACCCAGCTGTCGCTCAAGATATGTGGCCTCGGACTCAAATTCAAGCGCTCTTCAGCGCTTATGCGTTGACCTGCGTTCATTTCGGATGCATTCAAGCTATTCAAGTCCGTCCACCTTCAAAGATACAACTTTGGCAGATGCCTACGCCCAACCTACGCCGTAACCTGCGGCGGCCGGTCTGCGCTCGATATTCGACGGATTTGAAGAAACTGGCTGGTCTGGCCAAGCTCAGGGCGGGAATCAGGCTCACATATGCCAGCTGTTGCGTCGCTTTATAAAACGAAGAGGAAGGGATCGTGCTAACTTGACTCTTCTTCAGGCTGTCGATCCCTGTGAAGTCGTTATATCAATTCCTTATCTGCAAGCCTCGGATTCGCCAGCTCACGGACGTCGTGGACCACAAACGGACTGACTGTCTCCGATATAAGCACTGCATGAGTCGAAAGCGGTCGCAGATATCCAACTGCCGAGGTGGATTGGGTGATGATTCCGATAAGTAGCTTCTGAGGGTCTCCTTGTTCTCGAAGCTCACCACATATAAGGTGATGACCCGGGGAAGGCGCAGACCAGCACCCAGCGACCAGGACCCAAAGCGCTTCCAGACATGAGCCTAGCGCAGATCGACAACAGACCAGGTATGTAACTGCCGTGACCTTCTTCTGTCTAAAATTCGGTGGTCCTCCCAGAAACGAAGCGTAGAGTCGATCCCGCGCTTCAATTCTACCTGGAGCAAGAAGGCCAGACTATCCTCGGCTTCTCGTTCTTGTGGGACGCCATCGTGCACGAGCTCGTCGTCATATTTGGCTGCACCTGGCGCGATTTTTCGACCACCATTATCCCCGGCACCCTCTACACTGCGGGCGCGCTCCGCGCTCTGGAGGCCACGCCACCGCCGGCGACCGTCGTCGTCTCCCTCGCGCGGTCCATGACATACTTCATCGTCTTCGTCTACTCGTTCACGCTCGCAAACCAGATCACCGGTGTCCCCGAGGACCAAATCAACAAACCTGACTGCCCGATTGTGTCCGGGCGCATATCGCTCCCGGGCGCCTACGTCCGCTGGTACACGGCCACCGCAGCATTTCTCCTCCTCGCGTCACGGTGGGGCGTCCTCCGCTGGGCCGCGACCTGGGTGGGCTGCACGATATTCGTCACCTGGCTGCACGGCGATAAGCACTGGCTCACCAAGAACGTCGTCTTCTTAACCGTCGGCACAATAACTATTCTGGGCGCTGCATGGGAGTTTGGCGCGGCACTCACGCCTGCGGTCCGCCGGTTCAACGTCCTCCTCAGCGTCATGGTCGGCATCGTGGGCAACATCCAGGACATGCGGGATGTGGTGGGGGACAAAATGATCAGGCGGCGCACGCTGCCGATACTTCTGGGCCCAAAGAAGTTCCCGTGGGTCATGGCTGGGGTCACTGCAGCGTCTCCGCTGCTCTGCTGGAAGCTGCGGCTGATATATTCGACACACCCGCTCGCCTGGTATTACGGGCTTCTCCTGACAGCGGCCTTGTTCTACTGCGCGTATCGCGTGCTGGTAGGGGACTCCAAGGGATACCACCACCAAACATATATGGTATGTCATTACTAGTACCTCGCTCCTTTGATGATGTCGTTGATCTTGTGATAGGTTTCCACTTATATCTTTTGCGGATGTGCCGCGATTCCGGTGCTACTGCCCTAGGCTCGCGCAGCCCACTCCTCCACTGGCAGCAACGTTGCAACTTTCGGCGTAAACTCATCAACTTGAACGCAACATCGCAGGGTAATAGTAATGTTCGTGCATCACAGAATGTCCACATATATGTAGTACTCCAAGGGTTCACATCCCAATGTCCATAGACTTCGTTTATTCTTCATACACGTAAACTGCAGCCAACTGTGCCTGTGGAGAAATACTACTCATGCCGATACGAAGTGGACGTTCGACCAGTCGCCGCCTTTGTCGCATTTCCGTTTCCGTCGCAGGGATGATCTACGGAAACCTTTTTGGAATGTAAGCCACATTTCTGAGCATGCGGTTACCGTTACCGCCCGGCCTAGGTAAAATCGCAGGCAAGTCGTTCGTTCACTATGGTGGTCACTTTGGGGAAGTATTCCCCGACATATATTTTTATATTTTTCGCGTTTTGCGCAATTCTTTTTTATGTTATGGAAATAATAATATATCAAATAATAATATCAAACAAGTTGTCTACACAATTATCACAATATAGTGGGTTAATTCAATACTATCCATATCCTAATATAAGACAGCCTTTTAGTGTATACTAGACAGGGCTGGGGCTACGCCCCAGCTTTGAACTTAATGTTGCTTGAATAATATAAATTTCTGAATTAAGAACATTGCCACTAACTACAGAATGGCACACAGATACCCAATGGCCTTCTTAAATATCTGTTGCTATTATATGTTAAGTGCAACCCAAGTCACTAAACTGTGTGTACTTATTTCTCAATTTGTAGGTGACTTGAGAATATCTACTTGTAGATAACCTTAGATACAACTTGTTTACAGTACTGGGTGCAAGACATCACTTCCAGCTTTGCATCCCAATTGGGATTGGTCACATTTTACAGCTTTTCTCACCAATTTAGGACTGTAACAGCAGTAACCCCAAAAATGGAAGGGTGGAGCAAATCAATTGTCAAAGCTAATGCCAAACATGCAACAAACATGTGCATACATTCACACGACATCTGCTTAACATAAGAGTAATAATAATGGATAGGAAATGATTGGAGCCTTAGGACTCAGTATGTAAGGTACAACAGATCTAGAGATGATCAATATTTTGCTGATTAAGGTGTTCACAAACATTTATTCATATTTACACTGCTTTTCTCGGTGGATTTACCTGTAACTGACCAGGATAGTATAAAATTATATGTGTTACCTCTATGAGGCATTCCTAATTTAAAAAAAGCTAGATACTTGGACTTTTGTGGCATTTATTAGTGATTGGGGAGTGGCCAAGGCTAGTGCTATTTAATAATATGATACAACCTGATAGATTTTGAATATTGTCACAAACAACACCAATTCAGAGGATGCCAGTTGGCCAGTGAAGGCAAGCAAGAAGCACCGTGAAAGGATATCGTAAAGATGATGGAATTCGAAGACTGGGGTACAAGACGAAATCTACTCTACTTATATACACTACTACCATGTGTTTACCATGCCTAATACGAGAGGCAATGACATCATACTTTAGCCATGCCTTTATGTGCTGTTTGCCTCATGTCCAACTAGACAGGGCTGGGGCTACGCCCCAGCTTTGAATATAGTTGAAGAAAGTGGATTTCCAATCATGAAAGAAATCCCACTAATTACAGAATAGGTGCACAATAACCTGCACAAATATCTGGTTTACATAGACTGCAACCCAACTCAGTAAAATTGATTTCCTTACTCATTGATTTGTGGGAAAATTGAGAGTGCTTAGTACATATCAAGGTATCAGCATGGTAAATAGCCCTGCATATAATGTTTTTATGGTACTGGGTGCAATATATCATGTACAGCTTTGTATCCCAATTAGGATTGGTCACATTTTACAGCATTTGATACCAATTGGGGTTTTAACAGCAGTGACTCCAAAAATGGAAATGTGGAGCAAATGAATTGCTAAGGCCTGCGCCAAACATGTGCATACATTCACACGACATCTGCTTAATATAAGAGTAACTCCACGCTGTCAATCAACATCAGCATCGACATCTGATGATCCAATCACCATCTTATCGTCCATCTTATCTCCTCCTTGTCTTATCTTATCAACCAGGGCCAAAATAAAAGGTTTAAAGGGCGAAGAAAAAGGGTTTTTAAACCCAGGGTTTGACAAATATATCATCAAAAATACAGACATGATGCTTAAATCCGAAGGCTATATCATATTGTATCATTTTGATAGGTGAAAAAGTGAGGGTTTGGGGCCTTTTCTCAAGCTTTCTGGATTCCAAACATCATCCTGAGTGAGTTTAAGTGAGTTTTAAGTGTTTTTACTCCCTCCTAGAGTGAATGTGATTCAAACCCTTTATCACTCATTTTATGCCCAAAATACAGATATGATATGCCAAGATGCATATCATATCTGTATTTTGACAGTAGTGGTCTTCTGGCCTTGGAAAGCCGTGGCTTTAGCCCAGCTTTCCTTGGCTTTGGCCTTGTAAATCACCAGGCCAGGCCAACTCAGCTGGCTTTGGCCTAGGCTATGGCCTCAGCTGGGTGTGTGATCCGGGGTTGTTTATCAGCTGTTGGCATCAACAATAATGGTTGATGATTAATTTAAGTAGTGCAGAGAGTGGTCATAGGTTAGCCTGTGGAACATTAATAAGGCCTTTACATGCTAGCAATAGCCCTTCTAAGCCAACATATGATTAGATATTAAATTGACAGCACTAGCGAGCACTAGCCAAGGCTCAGTATCTGGGTTAGACAGGCCATGCAATGAACTTGATGTTGAATACCACTTTGTAGGCCTATTGAACACCTTCCTGCTCCGAGTCATATATAACATGTTAGGAACAGATAAGAACTCATTAAGATATGAACCCTACCACTATTTTGAAAACTCAGAGTTGGGTTAGTAATTTGCATTTTCTGACTTAACTATTGACTTTGAAGCCTAAGTCTAAACTGAATAGTAACATGTATTAAGGGTCTCTACAATCTGGTAATATTTATTAGAAAGTTTGTGTAAAGTCATGACAAAGTTGTTATCCCATTCATAGTAATCATGTATTTGTAGCTGAAGACTGAACTTGTAGGGTCTACCCAGAGGTCAGACCCTTCACATCCGGGTTTTTTGGGGAAAAGGTGGCCCAAAGCTGGACTTTTTGTAGCAGACAGGCCCAAATACTGGGGGCCGATTCTTAGGAAAATCACGGGCCCTGATTTCCCGCACGTGACCTGGAAACTACCTTATTTGGTAGTTTCTGAGTCACGTACGTGGAAAATCCACAGCCTTGATTTTGTTTCAAACGCCTGGCCCCCATTTGGCACTGCTTTTCTCACAAAAAAGTCCTGCTTTGGGCCACCATTTGTGCGTGAATCCCTGGTGTGCTTGGACATACAATATCTGTTACAATTTCTCAAAGGTACATACGAACAGTATTAATCACAATTTCTGCAATGAAAAAACTTGAAATTTCAACAATCATTTCATTATGCTGTAAACTTATAGTTTCAGCAGTGGGGAAATGCAGATAGAAACAAAGAGAATCTATCTGCATTTCTCTGCTGCTGATTTGCTTTGTACAAGGATTTCAGTGTCGGTTTCACCATGTTTGATGTACATAAGATATCACTGTAAGGGCAACCCCGGAGGCCTGAGATCAAGGTCCTAGCAGGGGAGGATCCAAAGCGTGAACATTGGTAAGCAAATACAAATGAAGCTGACCTAGCAGGGGAGGATCCAAAGAGAAGAAACTCTAAGGGTCCACCTGCTAGGTGTCAGGAATTGATGGCGGTCCGCCCCGGCCTCCGGCCCGTGATAGTGATCTCCGTGGGAGTTCCGGGAGTGTCAGCAGGTACATTATATTTACATATATACTGACATCTCTTTTCCGTTGCCCCTCAGTCTTTGATCCCATATAGTGGGAGACTGAGGGTATGTTACTTTACTTACTTAACTTATATAACTACTTACTGTACTTAGTTACTGCGCTTTCCGCGCATTTACAGGTAGTTAATAGAGTCTTTGATCCCATATAGCGGGAGACTGAGGTTACTGCGCTTTCCGCACATTTACAGATTTTGACAGGTTATGGGCCCCGGAGCGCTACAGCTCTGACAACATACTTGCTCTTATCAAGACTCACTGCTCGCTCTTAAAGCTAGAAGCATTTAGAAAATATTCTGCACCATCTAGGTTTTTTTGCTATGGAGACTTTTAAGGTCAAATTGGCTGGAGCTTCTGATTGGCCTGCATTCAAACGTTTAGCTATAAATGAACTTCGTACTTCTGGTGTCTACACTCTGATAGCAACAGTTATCCAGGCTACAACTCCTGCTGATGCTACTGCTGCAGTCCCTGCTGCAACGCCTACTGCTGGGTCAACTGCTACAGGTGTTCCATTTAAAGATCAACCAGAGGAACGTAACAGCAGAGCTTTAGGTGTTATCCATAGTTTTCTCTCTGATGAATTATCAGGAGAATATCACAATGATACTAGTGCTGCTGGTCTTTGGGCCAAATTACGTGTCCGCTTTGAAGCGGAAAATCGTGCAGGAACTGCAGCTGGAATTCTCTCAGATCTCTTTGACACCAAACTGGTGATTGAAGGAGACCCACAGATTGTGGAACGTACTGTTATAGAGACACATATATCCCAAGTTGTGGGATTCTTCAACAGACTTTCCTCCCTTCAATATGGGATTTCTCCTGATCTTCAGCCACTAGTTCTCTTAGGTACATTGCCTACAGATGCTCACTGGACAGGTATCCGTGATAACATCACAACATCACTGGGTACCAGCATTACTCTAGATAATGTCCGTGCTAGATTGGTTGCTTTAGGAAGAAAACCTACAGATAGCAACAGTCTGCTCTTTCTGCCAAATCCCTGGCTTCTTCCAATGCCAAGTTCACCAAATACTGTCTGAAACATGGGAAAACCAACTCTCATAATACAGATGAATGCACTGTTATGAAGAGTTTTCTCAAGGACAATAAGAAGAATAGTGGAGAGAAGAAAGACAGAAAGAGAGGTGCCAAAGCCAAAGCCAATAAATCTACAGAGTCTGATGATGGGGATTCTGATGAAGATTCTGCTAGCTTTGCAACTGCCTATGTAGATGCTAAATCATATTCTGCTTTGCATGCTTATTTGGCTAAGGATAGTGAGAAAGCAAAAGAGGCCATAATTATAGATTCTGGTGCTTCAACTACTATGACTCCAAATCTAGACTGGTTTGAAACAGGAACTTATAAAATTCTTGATCCACCACAAAAAGTCAGATTAGGTGATAATTCATATGCAGAAGTTATAGGTATAGGCATTATGAAACATTCATGCCAGACCAAACGTGGAAAAACTCTTGTTTCTCTTAGAGCATTATATATTCCTACTTTTGGAATCACACTCATCTCAGTGAGACAACTGGCCAAGAAAGGCTTTGACTGTATTTTCACAGGTGATGAATGTATTGTCAGAGATGCCTCTGGAAAACGCATGATTGAAGCTACTACTCATGGTGGACTTTATCATGTAAAATTTAAATCACTCAAGGATGATCCTCAAGCACTATTTGCTATTGATATCAACCACCTTCACAGAATTTCTGGACATACAAATATGCAACATCTGCAGAAGGCAGTTCAGAAAGGTCAACTTGGTGAAATCACAACATTGACAGGTCAACCTAAACTTTGTGAATCTTGTGTTATTGGGAAAATGAAAAAGTTGCCTTTCCCAAACAGCCAAACTGTAGCTCGTGGACCTCTAGATATTGGCTCATATGATGTAGGAGGTCCAGTGACACCTGAAGGTCCTGGTGGTATTAGATATTGGATTGTCATTGTTGATCATTTTTCATCACATACTTGGGTTTTGCTTACAGATAAGAAATCTAAAGTCTACAAGTTACTCAAGGAATGGAGAAAAACCACAGAAGAGCATTTCAAACAAAATATTGCCAATTGGGAATTCTGTCCTGGCTGGATTAGATTCTTTCGTACTGATGGGGGTGGTGAATTTACCTCTAATCAGATGGAAATTGAATTCAAAAACCAGGGAATCATTCATGAAACTACAGCTCCATATACACCTGAACAATGACACTAGGGAGCTGACTATATACTGCTTGTCCGTAGCTGCTGCTGTCAGGCACAGAAGGCTTGGGTGGCGTCGCAGGTGAGGTCCCAGGGCGACCGTCAGGAGGGCGTTGACAGATCGGTGATTGTGCGGGCGAGATGGAGGGCCGGACCGGAGTCGGAACCGGAATCGGAATCGTCTCCAAGGGGCTGAAAGGGAGGTTCCCCTGACATCACCCCCCTTTGAATGCGGCGTCTCGACGCATAGACCGGAACGGAATCGAGTCGAAGGTCGCGGAGGCAATGTGCCGTGGTTTGCCAGGGTACTTATGATAGACTCCACAATTTTCTCCGGGGCAAAGACACAGTTGAAGCGGACCCACTGGTCGTGCGATACGTCGTAGCCTTTCCATGCGACGAAGCAATTCAGCCGTTTATACGAGTATAATCCACCTTTCAGAAACTGGTGCCCCTACCCTCCTAGCATATCTCTATTCTAGTTTATACAGCACCTAAGGTCTATGGAAAGCAACCAACTCAGGCACTTACTGTATGATCTGCAATTGGTAGGATTATGATACACTATCCCCTGAAGCTGTATCAACTCAGATCATGAGATTCCCTGCATAGGGCTCCAAGATATCAGCAAAATGCTCCTTAACTGAATATTACTGTACTATTTCAATTAATTGTCCGCGTTACGCATTACACGCGGTCCCAGTGCAGACACCTGCGGCCGCCGACGCTGTTTATGGTAATCCAGACACCTTGTCCAGCGGACAGTTTGCATTACGTGTTACATGTCGCAGACAATTAATCGAAATAGTACAGTAAATCATGCTGGGTGGTCCATAGATTGATGTGATGGTGCCAGATGAGATAGATAGATTGGCAGGATGATGGTAGGATAGTATACCTTTTAAATGAGCTCTCTCCCAGCTTTACTATCAATGCAAGTCATTTATATAGTCAAAATATACACTTTGATTTGTGACATTCTGTGATATTCTCCAATGATTGTATTCTCAGTATTCTCACAGGGCAAATTTCCTTTTTTGTCATGTTTATCACACCACATTACAGTATCAACTTGCCTGAAAAAAATTCCTTTTTGGGTTGAATGTCGCCCACATTACTCTGTGTTACAAACATGACAAATGCACCATTTTGTCATACCTGGACTTAGAGCCCAGATACTAGCAGAATTATAGTAGCTGTAGCAGCGTAGAATAGGACTGGGTAGCATAGGAAGAAACTTAGAGCCTATGCTGCAGCAAGACATTTGAGAATTATTACAGCATAGCTATTTTTCAGTCATCTCTTCTAATTAGAAGTGAGACCCAGCATAGCCTCACTTCTAATTGGAAGAGATATGTGGGATTAACAGCTGTGTGTCCCTGTTTAGCCAACCAGGGATACCTTTAGGGGAAAATATTTAAAAGGACCCAATGAATAGAGTAGAAATCTTGACAGAAGACAAAAACTATCAATATTGTAATACATTGTTCATCCTTTAGACAAGGCTTTTTTGCAACTATCTGGGAAGCTGTCTTTCCCCATAGTTTTCACTTGACCTTTTCTAATAGAGATGGCCTTTTTGGCCTATACATTCATTAAAATTTTCTAAAACACTCCAGTAAATGCTCCAGTTTTCTTTGGAATCCTCAGGGTGAGAATGGCCTAGTCTCTTTTACAGACCCAATATCGTGGCGGTTGTAAACTCCCTACAAGAAAATAGGGTCTGTTGGCTACCACACTGATGTGAGGCTGTCATCAGCTGATCTGTCAATCACACAGTTATCAACACATTTGAGTGCATTGGAGGTGGCTTGAGCCTATGATTAGTGGCTTGAGGGTGTAGATTCCCTGGCTTTATGCTGAATGCTTGTTGCAAAAGCCTTCCAGAGGTGTTTGGCCATATTTAGCGTCAAAACCATACTACCTCATCAAGTGACTCATGATCCTGTCTATAGGCACGTAACTAGCTAGAAACAATAGGGATCGGCACCGGACCGTACGGTACGGCGTACGGTTACGGTACGGTGCCACCGCAACCCGTACCCGTACTGGGGTTTCGTGTCCTGGGGTACGATATGGTCACTTATGGGACGGAGGCCGTACCAGGCCGTACCGTACCCCATAATACGGCCCGTATACGGGATACGGTTGATGGCTTGCCGAGACATTTCAGCAAGCCATCAATCAGCCTCATATGGCTGTCGGCATGGGGATTCTCTCACGCTGTAAGCCGCGGAGTCGGTGCGGACAGGTTGGGCCTCATCCAGGCGGCCAGACGGGGCAATTTGGGGCCGGACCAGCGCTCGGATAATGCCACCAGCCGGGCCTCCGCCCTGATCCAACCCTCCTGTTCACAAGTCTAGCTCCACAAGTGTAAGCGGCCTTGAAATCCTCCACAGCAAGTCCACGCTACCTCCCCACTCCCTCATTGATCAGAAATACCCACCGCTGCACAGCGCAAGCGGTGGCACCGTACCGTAGGACCGTATTGAAACAAATAGCACATCAAACATTGCTAATAATATCGCAAAATGGTAGCTAATATAGAAGGAAAAAAAACAGCTAGAAGGCCATTCTTAGTCTGGTGGTAACCGTGTCCCAATAACTGGGATCCTGTGTTATTATATAATCACCCGTTTTGGAAATGCATGTGCCTCTCGATATGCTGGGCCCCCACGCGACATGGATAAAATGGACGTGTCAATCAAGTTAGAGCTGTTGATCTCTACAGGCCTACTCCACAGTTTAATATCTCTCAAAATTGCAGAAATCGTAAGAACTGTACTTGAGAGGACCCCGTATTCAGCTTCCTTGACCTGAACTGTCACCAAGTTCAAGTATATATAGCCAGGTATCCAGGGCTTCAACTATTTTATTTATGTTTGATGAGATTACAAATAAGATAGAAATAGTAATAAATGTTTAAAACTATTTATAAATGGTTCTGGTGCTGGCCAAATACAATTATATTATGTTTGAGAGATAATATATTATAATCATATCATATTCAGGTATATAATATGATTATGTTATGAATATACTCAACTATAATTTAGGATGATTATCTCCATGTAAATTTAACTTGCTTTCAGGCCTCTTGAATTTCCTCTGCAGGTGACCTGCAGAGACCCTCAAAATAGAATCAGGGATTACTCCAAGCATTAAACTGTCTAGTGCCTATGTAATGGCAACCCCAGAGGCTCCAATGAGATTCCTAGCAGGGGGGGATCCAAAGAGAAGAGAAACTCTAAGGGTTTGCCTGCTAGGGTGCCAACTATATACTGGTCATCTTTAACTGCCAACATAGAAGACCTGAGTGGTGTTGCAGGCTCTGTTCCAAGGAGATGGTTGGGAGGGTCTTGATGGATCGGTGTGCTAGAAGTGAAAACAGTTAACCATGATTTAACTATTTATTTGTATTTGATTTCTATTTGCCCAAGTTCACAAATAAAATGCACCATGGTCATTTAAATGTTTATTATCATGTGTAAATATCTGCAGATGGAAAACGCGAATGATTCTGAGCCCCGGGTTTTTGTCCCATTCCATTTCCTGAGCCCCCTAGCCAAGCTACATGATTGGAACCACTTTCTGCAGATGGGAGTTGTTCCGCTCATTTAAATTTTCTTCCTAATCATTTTCCTTCGTGCACCCCCGGCCAATCAATCACCAAATTGTCGCCCTCAGGCTCAGCCTCCTCGGCACTCCACTTCGCACCTTTCTTCTATGTATGCAGTTCCTATATGAAATAGTTGATTTCCTCAAGAAGTTGGGTTTGATGCCATTGTTCCGGACGGGACGCGGGCAAGGCTACACGATGGTATGAGCATCTTAGTCATACTTTATAGAGAAGGCGTATCACTATCCGTGTCGGTCCGACTCTCCTCCGCGGTCCATATGCGCTCCATCAGCGACAACGCCTCGTCCGTAACATCCGTCCATGATTCCGCCTCCCCTCCTGCGGTCCACGCGCGCGACATCACCTCGGGGAGGACATCGAAGTGGTCGCCCGCCCATTGCCCGTTATGCAAGGCGCGGCTCTTGCCCTCTGCCGTGAGCGCATACTTGAGATCGGGCTCGGCCGGCGCCCAGCAGAGCCACGGCAAGAGCACCGACGCATAGCCGGCGTCTGTGATACCGCGCGAGGCAGCGAAGCGGGCCACGACGGCAGCGCGGATGTATTTCCGTTTCGAGACATTGCGGAGGACGCCTTGAGTGTGCTGCTTTATGATGCGTGCGGCGTGGCGAATAGCAGAGTCGGCGACGAGTGCCGCGCAGAGGGTCTCGGTGTCGGAGAGTGCGGCCCGGAAAGCCCGTGGCGCGGCCGGGTGAGCGATTCGGACTCGGCGTTCCGAGTCATTCCAGAGTGTCCAGATGAGGTGCGCCACGTCCGGGTTAACCGCCAGCGGCAGCGGCTCCGGCGCGGCCTTTCTCAGCGCCTTTACGAGCGGCTGGCGGAGATGCTCTGGATATACGGCCGCTTGGACTTGGAGGCTCGCGGTATCTGGCACACAAACAAGCCGGTCCCCGGCCCACGACCGCGTCACCATAGGATCGCACAGCCGGCCGAAGATGATGTGCCGCCCGACGTACCACAGCGTCTGGCACGTGGTACTGAACAGGAACAGCTCCACAAATTCGTCCACCTGGCCCAGCACCTCGCGCAAGATCTCCTCCGGCAGCTCGAGTAGTGCAGCGCTGCCAAGGTTCAGCTGACATTCCTTGCACACAAGAATCACATACCGCTGCACTTTTGCATGCTGCAGCCGCATTGACACCCCATGCAGCCGAATCACGTCGCCCGCGCGGTACGGAAGGACGATTTCGTCAACAGCCAGAGTGGAGACACACAGATGCCGCGCAAGCCCCTGCGCAGCCTCGCTGAAGAGCAAATCTTGCAGAGTAGCGCCTGTAACCAGCGCCTGGTGCTTGTCCAGATTCACGATCTGCCACTTCATGGGCGCCTGGAAGAAAAGGGTGGTGTGGCTGTGCTGTGCTGATGCGGTCCCTGTGTCACGCGGTGACCTGCCCGGTGGCGCATGCACACCAAATGCACACCAAGGTATAAGACAAAAAATTGGCCCCAAAGGAGGACTTAGTTTGAAAAATGTTCAAAATTTTATCATGGCTGGTGGCCAACGAGCCAGAGTAGCTGACAATGATGAATTACTGACCTATTTCATTCAATTAGGCGGGTCACGGTCACATTGGATTTTTTGGCCGAAATATTTCGGCGGGTCACAGGTCACAGCCAAATCTTTTGGTCCCAAACTGTCCTAATCGGGAAGATTTTCAAATTTTCGGCGCCTGCGGCGCGCCGAACTTCCTAATCGGGTAATAGGTCACGCGAAATTCGGCCTGCGGCCGAATTGGACATTTCGGCCAAACGGTCACGGGTCACAGGCCCGCTGAATTGATCGAAATGGGTCAGGAAATCTAAGGCTCCAACTAATTACTATCCATACACACTCCGAGGCTGTATTGTATTGGGATATGGATACGATTGAGTTATAACCCAATAGATTGAGTATATAGTAGATAAAATATTGTTTCGCATATTATTCTATATATGATAATCCCAAGGGTCCTGCCTCAGCGCAGATCAAGACATCGGGTCCCCGTGGGAAGGACACATGACTGATTGTATAATCCTGATCATTATTCACTATCTCACACCGGATTTGGTGAAATATCCCTTGAAGTAGAAAGTGTTCTAAATTCTACCAGAATCTAGAACCAAATCTACATGTGGATGTCAGGGGAACCTCCCTTTTGGCCCCTTGGAGACACATGAAAGTTGTTTGTATAGTCAAAATACACAACTTTGATTTGTGATGATGAAGTCAAATGGTGAAAATTTACTTTTTGAGAAATTTGTCACACATTGTGACACACAAGTAACAGCGTGTCCCTGGGCAGTGAGTCTAACCAAGAGACTTGAATTATTCATTATTATTCATAACATTAGAGATTTGGATGATAGCTTCTTTGTGACATCACATACCAGTGTCACATCTGATTGTCTCAGTCTTATCACATCAAAATTATTTAGAATTATTCATATCTGATCTTAGACTTGTATCCTTCCAGAAAAGTTACCATATATGGAAATAGCATCAATCACATCAGCTTATGTTAATTCATCACCACACCTGTCATGTACGCAAAAAAAATACTCTAAGTCTCAGAATTATTGGAGAATTATCTGAGCAAATATCACAGCATAGGCCCAGATGCTCTTCTCTTCATATTAGAAGGCTCAACCCATCTGTATGAGGATATCTGGGACAGGTGTTCAGGTCAAGGAAGCTGAATACGGGCTAGAAACAAATAGCACATCAAACATTGCTAATGATATCCCACAATGAGAGCTACTATAGAAGGGGAAAAAAACAGCCATTCTCGCTGATGCGCTGCAAGCGTGCTCGTGAGCGCGAGCTAACCCAAAATAGGTCAGCAACACTACTCCCAGCAGCCATAAGCTAAGTAAGTGTGCGAGGGTCAATCCATACCCAGGACTTGGTGGGCAGGTGGTGGTGGTAAGTGTGATGTTGGATGCATGGTGCGCAAGGGCTACGGCGGCGAGGGACAAGGCGAGAGCGACGGCAAGGGCTCCGGATCGGACGGACATCAACGGAACTTAAATCATATACGCGGGGCGCTAGAAACTTGTTATATCTATGGAAGACAGGCCTTTTTCTACTAATAATGAAATAGAATGACTCCGAGGGCGAGTCAGACCGAGCTGCGGGGCCGCGCCCGATGAGTCAGTGGGCCGGCGACACGTTGCCGTCGTGCGCGTGAACGCGTTTGATGCGCGTGATGCCGCGGCGTGCTGATGTCATCTTGCTGACGTGATGCCAATTTCCGCGACCAGCCGCGTTGGCAGTTCAACATCGCCCCAAGGATTCTAAAGAAAACTGCAGTGTTTTAGAAAATTTTAATGAAGGTATAGGCCAAAAAGGCTGTCTCTATTGGAAAAGATCAAAAAGGTTAAGTGAAAACTATGGGGAAAGACAGCTTCCCAGATTGTAGCAAAAAAGCGCGCCTATAGGATGAACAATGTATTAGAATATTGATAGTTTCTGTTTTCTGTCAAGATTTCTATTCTATTCATTGGGTCCTTTTAAATATTTTCCCCTAAAGGTATCCCTGTTCAGCCAATTACAGCCAGGGACAGGGACACAGGGAGGAGCAGAAGAGGTTCAGGGAAAATTTTGAGAAAAAAGACCCTCCCATAATTATCACAGAATGATTTGGGTGATTATCATAGTATAGGCCCTGAATGAGAGAGGACAGCATAGTTATCATAAGGGCAGTAACAGTCGGATTTGAAAGGACGGGTCCTGTCAGGGGAAACCCTGATGCCGTCACTTGATTCCATCAAGCGCTGCGTCTCTGCTCATGTCTCCGCGTCTCCACTCGCGTCTCCATGTCTCCACCCGAGTCTCTGTATTCCTTCACCCTGACGCTCCTCCTCCACTTCTCCCACCACATCCCGCATCCAGTGGTCCCCAACCTCTGACTCCCATGGCCACCCCTTTCTGGGAGTCTCTCCGGAGTCACCATCAAGGATCACTAATGCCATCGGAGACCTCTCCGGATGTAGACACACCACTTTCCTCTGAGACCTCGAGCCTATGGCCTTATAGCCTCTCTGGGCTGTCGCTCATCGAGGTCTCCCTGCAACCTCTACCCGCTGGACCTCTTGGGTGTCCCCAACCTACGTTAGCATTCGGGCTTACGTTCGGATGGCTGAGCCCCGCCATGGCTCCACCCCCCACTCCGCCACCACGGCCCCGTCATTGGGTCTTCCTTTGGGTGAGGCCTACTGCCGTTAAGGCTCGTGCCTACTGCAGCGCCCCAGGCTTCACGCCCTCACACCTCCACCTCTCTAGAGACGTCCGGGGACGTCTCCGAGTGACCCTCCTGTTGCTACCCTCCAGTGGTCATGGCTGGCCGCCATTCCCATTGGTCCTCTCCGACACTCCCCGGCCCTTGGGCTAGACCGACTCCTTCCCTCTCCGCTCCACGTCCCCCCTCTCCGTTTCTGGCCGTCACGTCACGGTTACACACCCGCAATCGATTCTGATTCTGATTCTGATTCTGATTCTGATTCCGATTCCGATTCCGGTTGTCACGGTCACGGTCACAAGCGGAGACGCCCAGAGGCAGTCTGGACCCCCGAAGCCCTTCCTGGGCCTTCTAAGGATGCCTGGGCTCTTCCCTTGGCATCATGGTCCCAAACCTGCCTCTCCGGAGCTTCAAGGGCTACTCAACACTCACCTAGGGTCCATTAGCGACACCTGACTTCTCCCATGCATCGTTCGTCGCTATGCAGTCACTCTATCATTACTCCGGTCACTAGTATATAGTAGTGCACCTGAGCAGAGGGCTCCTTGGCTTGTTCTCTAAGGATTCCCCCTCTGCTCAGGTGAGTCTGTAGCGTCCCTTCCTGTTGTAGTAGTTTCACTAAGGATTCCCCCTCTGCTCAGGACTCTGATTTTGAGCCTCGCGAGGTTGCCCTTACTTATGCCTAGCAGCAGCTACTCAGCCAGGTTCGACAGTTATTGAATCTCAGATTCATGGTTGGCCGAAATAAGTACTGTGTTTGCGCCACCAACTAAGAACTTGAAAGGAATTTGTTATGTAGACATGTTCTGTATGAGGACTAGCAAGAGGCAAATAGCATATGAAGATGTCGAGGCATGTGTCCAGGTTGAGCCTTTACTTGGAAGTGTTAGCGCCGAAATGGTATAGTGTTCCACTGTGACTGATGAGTTAGGAGGCCGAGCTCAACCTCACCACAACCGAGCGGATTCAAGACTAGTAGGACTTTGAGTCTCAGATGCTTCTCCAAGTCAAAGTCGCTGTCAGACTGCGGGTCGGGCCGTGCAATGACTTCTCCTAACAATGCGCACCCGGAACAGAACAGACGGATCGTCGGGCCCGCGAGTATGGCGAGTGGGGTAGATTGAAACCAAAAGGGCCCGTTAGCTCGGTCCCTTGTTGCTGTCGGTGGTCGAAGGTTCGAATCGGGTTGTGCCGGGCCCGATGAGTTGTTGGCACCTCCTTGTATGGAGAAAGGTAGTTCTTCAGACGATCTAAGTGATAGAGTACATGGTACGCTATTGCACATTATATAGGCGGGCCCGCAAAGGGTGATCGGACACCCTGGCCTCTCCTGCTCCTCCTCGTCCCTGTCCCTAACCACAGAGGGGACGATCGTATATACCTTGTGGGCTAGGCGCTACTCGTAACCTCCTAGCACTCCTCCCCAGTCCCCTGGTGTTGAGTTGGGCTTGGCAATGGCTCGACGCGTCGTTCTCGGTCCACGTGCTTCCCACGTGTGCGTGCCTCCTACTGGGGCGCATGTTCCCTGTCGTCACGTACTGCGTGGTATGGGCCCGCAGTGGCCCGACACCAGCGCCGGAGCGGACGGGCCAGGTCTTATCCGTGACAGTCGCTCCGAGTCCAGCAGCTTTTGTTGATATTATTGGGCCTTGGGCTATTGATTGTTCGTCGAATTCATTCAAGTTCCCCTGAATGATGCATAAACGGACGTCAAAATCCCCAAAAGTAGCTCAGAACTCACCATTGTGTGTGCCCGTCCTTCACAGACTGCAGTGCTGTTTTCAACTCCCAGGAAGCAGTGGCCTCTATTTGCCAGCGCATCTTGCCAGCCTGAGTGCCCAGTGGCATGAATCGTATGCCAATTAGCCTGTTAGCGTTGTCGCTGTCTCTTTCCACGCACACAGGCAGCACTGACGCTACTGGAGCTCCTGTCTTCCGAGTACTAGTCATCTAGAACCGGGTTAGGAACGAGAAGATGGAAGAGTGGGAAGAGGCGGTGTGCCGTATTTTTTTATTGTGATTGATGATGTGACAACAATTTTGAATTGATCCGGCACAACGACAAAAGTTCGGAGATGAGCTAGGGTACGGGGGAAAAAAAATCCAAGATATCGGGTCGAAAAAGTGAATTAAGCACCAACCAGCCCTCCCTACCCTATTGACATAAGCATGACTAAGTCATGTGACTTCCCAAAAAGGAAATTGTTTGTCATCAGTGTCTGTACAGAAAGCACTGGGCTCATTGGATTCTATGCCAGGGCCAATTAAGACATACTTACCATATAGGAAGGAAAGAAGAAAATGTAAATGACATGCTTACATGTCATTGTTTAGCCCTGTACTCATCATCAAACTCTCCCGATTGGGATATAGGCCCTCAAACATTCCATATTCTTTGGCAACAAGTCCTAAAAACCTATAACTGTGCATTTCTGGCCCTCCTGGATGTCCATGAACCTTTCCCGGACACAAGTCCAAAAGGTGAAATTCACAAACTGATTTAGGTTTGTGCTAATGTACCGTCGAAAGTGGCACTGATTGTCACAACCTCGTATTACTCATCCATCAAATGTCACATTTCTCATGTCACGGCAGGAACAGGCCGCATCCTGTCAATAATAATTTGTTAGATATAGCCGCATTTAGCAGTATGCTAAGTAGATAAAATATCCATAGTCTGTCTTGAAGTCAGGGTTAAAACCTGTCCTATCTACATCTGAGTCTTTAGGCAGTTTAATTATTATGAGTAAATTCTAGAAAATTGTCAATTTTTTGTTGGAAAATTAGTATGTAAGCACGTGGGCTTGCACCCTTGAGTTTACTCTCTAAAGCCTCCCAGACTGACCTCAGGTCTATAATCAGTTTGTGCTACGCCGCTTGTCGGCTTACCTTCAATCATTTCAGCCCAGTGACCCACCCTACCCTATGTGACATGTGTGACTTCATGTCACCAGCTGATGATCTGCGGTACCCTTGGAGATGAGCCAACGCCAGATACTCATAGTGCAGCGAAGTGCTTGTGCCAACTCGTTTGAGTAGCTGACGCCGCGGCTCGTACAAGAAGTGATATCCTAGGTCGGAGGAACTGAATTCCGACCGGTGCTTTGAAAACGCCTCAACCAAGTTCTTTGACTTAGCTCTAGGGACGCTGGCTTCTCTCTATAATACTGTTACTAAATCCCCAGTTTACAGAACCTCCGACCAAGGGTCAATTTTCAAAGTCTCTTAAAGGGAAAATTGAAACAATTTTGAACGTGATACACAAGTTTCAAGTTCAGAGTTTGTGGCCCGGGGCACTGCTATTGCAACTACATATGCCATTCTTGCTTCGGAGTTCATCGGGAATTTGGACCTGAAATTTCTGCTCCTCGCTCGATTTCTGCACACATTGCTCCCAGTTTGCCAACCCCCATATACTTCAAGTTTTGGTATGTACAGTTCTATCCAGATCCATTCATTTTACTTCTGTACAGAGGACATCATGTCATTCTAGTCATTGCCATTACCGTGCCGATACTTCTACCATGAGCTTCCCGGTCTCGGTGACATATATATCGCCCAGCGTCTCGTCCCACTTGGCGCCGGCCTTCCCCTTCGGGTCGACGAAGCGCATGTCGTAGCGGCGCACCAACGCACTTGTCGCCATAATCAGTTCGCGCCACGCAAGGTGCTTCGCCGCGCAGTTGGCCGCGCCGTACGAGAAAGTCAGCAGCACGCCCTGATTGAGGATCTCCGAGTTGGCAGAGCCGTTGCGCAGCCAGCGGTCGGGGTCGAACTTATCGGGCGCGGGGAAGAAGTGCTTCGGGCTGCGGTGAATGACGTAGGCCGGGAGGCAGACCTGAGTGTGTTCCGGAATGAGCTTTCCAGCAATGAGCTTGGCGTCGCCGGCGGGGATTTCGCGTGCACCGCCCGTCGGAACAGGAGGGAAGAGGCGGAGGGACTCTTGGCTGGAAAACAAGGTGAGAACGACTGCTTTTGCTGAGCAACGGCCGCGACTCACAGGCAGGCGGTCAAGAACTTCAATTCGCCGTGCTTTTCTGAGCCAAGAATGCTTTCGGGGTCGGGGTATACAGCGTCCACCTCGGCCTTGACGCGCGCGTAAATAGCGGGATTTGTCATCATGCACCAGAAGAAGCTGTTGACGGTGAGCGTCGCCCCCCCCTTTGTAAAGCTATTAACTTACTATGAGAGCGCAAATGCGGAGGTGTCAGAGCCTGCGACAATGGCGAGGATTCCGTCAACGAGAACCTCAGGCAGCGTTGGCTTGACTTTCTCGTGGCCATCCTCGTCCATCTACGTCATTTCCATTCAGCATTATGACAGTGGACGAGGACAACAACCATACCAAGTGATACCACAGGTCTTTGTGCTCTTTGGGACCCGACTTGACGCGATTCTGCGCGCTTGAGAGTCCGAAGCGGCGAAGACGGTTCATGACATCGTTGAGTCCAGGCGTAATGTCGACGGTCGGCGCGATCCACGGGATTTGAGCGAAGATGGCAGTAGCCCTGTCGAAAGGTTAGTCACCACCGACGCAAGGAAGTGAAGGCACTCACTTGATGCCGATCTTGATTATCGAGAAGATGCCGTCCCTGTCTTCACCATCGCGCAGCATCTCGAAGCCACCACCGAAGCTAACGTGAGGATGAGAGTCAGGGACGGAAAAACAAGGTTGAAAGCTTACGCCATGTCTCCCATAAAGTCAAACGTCAAGTAGCTACACCATGCCGACAAGTCAACCTTCGTTCCCTCGTTCGCAAACTTGTCGAACTGGGAGAGCATAATTGAGATGCGTTTGGCCAGGATGCCCTCGTAGTCCTTGAGTGAGTCGGTGCTCATCCCGCGGTTCCAAATCTTGCGGCGGTTGGCGTGCGCGTCAGAGCGAAGGTTGAGCAGACTCTTGGTGGGTAGCTGTGGGTCAGAGAACGGCTCGTAGACTGTTTACCCGACTCAGTTAAGTGACGGGAAAACAAACGATGAGCAGCTTACATGGACCTTTCTGGAAGCCACTCGTGCCCAGGACAGAGCGGATGGCTTCAGCGTGGACGACGGAAACCTCATTGGGCCCAATACGGACAAAGTCTCCATGTTTCTCATGAAGTTTCTTTAGCACCAGATGGCGGTTGCCCCGAATGAGTAGGCTGACGCCCCAGAGTTTGCTGACTTTGGCGAGCATCGGGCCGGGGATGTGGGCCAGAGGATGCCATGGGGAAAGGCGGTATGCGACGATAGAGGCTGTCAGGCTGGCGAGGAAAATGGCGCCGGTGGTTATAACACTGCCAAACGAAAGTGTCGACCGGGCAAAGACGAGCAGAGGCGGCTGGAGGGCGAGCGCGAGGAGCGGGTAGTGCGCGTTCTTGGGTGGGTAGTGGTGGAACATCGCGTGGTTAGCCTACAACAATATAGTCAGTGTACACGCCCAAAAAGAGTAAGACGCGTACGAGTCCGAGAAGGACGGCGGGGAGTACCAGCTGGTTGGAGGACATCACCGTGAGTTGGGGAATAATCAGTTGAGGCGAAACACCATTTTTTATACCTGCCCGCTGTGCACTTATGGAGATTCGTCTTGCCTGCAGCACGCTGCTTCCGTCGAGAAGCAAGAAGGGGCGACCGCACAACCATCGAGGCGGCTATTGGTTTCGCTGGCTATCCGCCGAGCCGCTTTCTGCATGGGGTTGTCTGCACACAGCTGGCTAGCCCCTCTGAGCAACATCCCAGAGCAGACGCCTGATGGCGTGCCGCCTTCTCACCAACAACAAAGGCTCGTCCGTGGGCATATCACCGCCGCGCACGTAAAGCGTGACCACAGAGCAATATTATTTGCGCCTTCGCGAAGACGCCTGCAGGGTCTCCTCCTCCCGCTTGGCAGGGCTCGTGCTTGCTATTCTTGTTGTTGCAGTTGCGGGAATGCGGATGTCACCGTATAGAGCCTGCCTGAGAGTGGGCCCGGGGTAGTTGATTAACTCCACCAGCGCGAAGTTCGGCATCCCCTGCGGCCGGCGATTTATTGCAGATCTTTCGCGGGGAGCATAGAAGCCCTATTACTAATAGGCTCCCGATCGTTTCTTGCATCTATCCATTGAAATTTGGGTTCCACTTGGAAGGATTATGCCCCGCGAGAACATTCACCACCCCGCCCGCACTGGGAGGCACCAGGGCTCACAGTACTAGTTCCAGTCGACACGCGGCAGGCGATTCCAAGGCATTCCTAACCGGAGGGTCGCTGCACGGACACGCCATCTCCGGCTGACATCATCTCCAAGTTGATCTTCGTTTCCTTCCTTCCGGCGTCGGCGTCATAAATCCGTGAATGCGATGGCCCAACCCAGCCCAGGTTGCAATGGCGATATACGAGTCGGATGGTCCGGAAGGATAAGCGCGCGGAGTAGTTCACCGAGACCGACAGACCGTGCCCGTCGCGCTACGAAACAGTGATGGATCGGGGGGACATCGACGCTGGCATTGAAAAATCCCGCTGGCCCCGGAGGTACATCACATTTTTGCTCTTCGTGAGGCCTTGAGCCCTCTGAGAGCGGCGCCCGCGTGTCCACTCGCTCGCAAGCTGGCCGTAGTCTAGAAAGCCCAAGCCTTCCGTACGTCGCGATCGAGTGCTTCTCGCCAGATTTCTTGTGCAGCTGTCGGGATAGCTATCTCATTGGGTGTGGTAAGAACCCCGTAAATCAGTGAGCGACAGCACGCTGACCTAAGTTGTCATGGTGAGGCTGGCCGGCCCGGAGACACGGGCTCTTATCTCGGCAGCTGATGGTCGACGACGACGAGCGGCGGGAATTGTAAGGCGGGAAGTGGTGCTTTTGGGGGTGAACGTTCTCTGTATCCGACACACGTAGCGGGTATGGATTAGCCTGAGGTATAGGTGAGCCCTACGAGCAGTCTTGTTTTCATCCCCCCATGGTAACGGTGCTCACTGGATGTCGTGTTATGTGGGATTGGTAATCGTCAGCCCAGTGTGTGCTGCGCGTCATCGTACGACGTAGATCAGATCGGCGACGCATGTCAGTAGTAGTCGCGGCGTGCCTACGTGCTCAGCCAAGTGCTGAGCAATCTGGCTTCCAACGGCGGTAAATCCGCACCGGGCACAAGGCGAGAAGACGGCCATGGGAGTGCGGAGCAAAGTCGTTTGACACATGTGACGTGACGCACATCTCGTGTGATGGTGATGGTGTCCATCTGTTGCGATCGGACGCACTAATCGTGCGGCAATAAGTACAAGTCGTGCAGGCGTATATTTACTGCGCTGAAAAGGAACTAAATCTAAGTGCTTTGGGGGACAAGGACACGCCTACAACCCCCTAAGGGAACACCCAAGCCCAATCATCGCGCGTGAGAAATTGCACACGCGTCAGCTCCACTCACGCCATGACGTTGAGCTTCTATGGAAGATCGGCTGCAGATCGAACGGAGACCAAAGAACTCGACAATTCCGCCTAGCCGTCCGCCGCCCCCGTGCTCGTTATATAAGCCTAATTACTGCAATGCGGGGACAGTCTTTCCCTTGATATCGTCACAACCAGCAAATTGTGACCAGGAATTTCAGCATGCTCGAGCTTCTTAGCTACGAGTTGTAGTATCTTTTAGAAGGAAAAGTATCTTTTAGAAGGAAAATGAGTCCGAGTCCTACGGCTCTGTTTTTTACTGTATACTTTGTCAATTACAAACACTATTTCTAACACCCTTGGGCCAACAAGTACTAGCTACACTGCACCGTTTCCACAATTTTTCCCCGTGAAAAGTTACATAAGAAATTCAACATTTTGAATAAATTTTTCTCTGAGTGAAAATTTGTTTTTGCTTATTTTTGTTTAAAAAAAATTTGGTGCAAAGGTACAAGGTATCCAAATAAATAAGCGGACGCTCAAATTGATTCTTCTAACTCGGACTCTACAGGTGCATATTGGACTCTCATTTCGCTTGTAGTAGGGTTGTATATACAGAGAGTGTTAATAAGAGTGTGCTTCAGGTTAGTAGCGAGTGTGGCCGCCATGAGCAGCGATGACAGCGTCGACAACGTCAGGCATGCGATTGATATATTTGTCGATGTCGTGCTGCGGGATGGCGGCCCACTCCTCATGGAGAGCTTGCACAAGCTCCGCATAGTTTTTTGGCTGGGTTTGATGAGCTCGGAGACACTTTTTGAGCTCCCACCAGCAGGGTTCGATGGGAGACACATCAGGAGAAGTGGCGGGATGAGGGAAAATGGGGATTTCTTCATTGCAGAGCCACTCTTGCGTGAGTTTGGCGCGATGTGAGGGTGCACCGTCCTGCTGGAACTTGATTTTGGGGTCGTCAAGCTGAAGATCCACAAAAAAAATATCGCAAAACAGGTTTGAGGACCTGCTCGCGGTACCGCACTGCCGTCATTCCGCCACCCTTGCCTCCCGGATACTCCAAAATAACCAATGGGCCCTTGTGTTCCTTCGCCACACAACTCCACACCATTGCTTGTACTGACGACTGCTTTGCAACCTCGACCAAGCACTCCTCCAGCATCTCCTCTCCGGGTTACCTCGTCCCATAAACACACCCTGGACTCTCTCCTAGGATGACATAGGCCTCATCCGACCACAAGACGTGACGAAATTCAGTGTTCTTCGACTTTGCCCGGGCCTCTGCCCACGCCAATCTGCTGGCACGTGTCCTGACATTCAATGCAGGCACTTTGAGAGCAACCCGACGATGGTAGCAAGCTTAAGACAAATTGTCTCGGCGCCCACATCTGCAGTAACACGATTGGCGATGTCTCGGAGAGGTCGGTGGCGGTTCTCGATTGAGCCTGTTGACACGTCAAGCGCCTCCTGGAGCGTGTTCTCGTCTGCCTTTCGTGGCCGTCCATGTCAGACTGCGGGTCGGGCCGTGCAAGGACTTCTCCTAAGAACGCGCGCCCGGAACAGAACAGACGGATAGTCGGGCCCGCAAGTACGGCGGGCGGGGTAGATCGAAACCGAAAGGGCCCGTGAACTCGGTCCCTTGCCGTAGTCGGTGGTCGAAGGTTCGAATCGGGTCGTGTCGGGCCCGATGAGTCGATAGCGTCTCCTCGCACGGAGTAAGGTAGTTCTTCAGACGATCTAAGCGATAGAGTACAGGGTACACTATCGCGCCTTATATACGCGGGCCCGCAAAGGGGGTGATCGGACACCCTGGCCTCTCCTCCTCCTCCTCGCTCCCGTTCCTGGCCGCAGAGGGGACGATCGTACATCCCTTGCGGGCCAGGCGCTACTCCTGACCTCCTAGCACTCCTCCCCAGTCCCCTTGTGTCGAGTTGGGCTCGGCGACGGCTCGACGCGTCGTTCTCGGTCACGTGCTTCCCACGTGTGCGTTCCTCCTACTGGGGCGCATGTTCCCCGTCATCACGTGCTGCGTGTTGCGGGCCCGCAATTGCCCGACACCAGCGCCGGAGCGGACGGGCCGGGTCTTATCCGTGACATCACCCCCTCCCTAGGAACGACTCGTCTCGAGTCGGCATGGCTCGGTCGCCCCAGTTTCTCGGGTTAATTTGACTCTAGCGCGTCCTTCCAATCGCAAATTCCATCCAGCCCGTAAGCTTAAGCTAAGCCTCGGCTGCGCGTTTTAATCTCCCGCGGCTTCTGGCGTCCGCAGATCGATTCTTCCTGTCCATCAAGTGTTTCACCGCGGTCACGTGCGGCGTATCGTAGGTGTTTTCCAATTCAGTTGCGCGTCCTTTGTTCATATTGCTTGCGAGTAGGCTGTGCTGCGCGCCTCGGTCGAGTTCGATATAGAACATGTTCGTTCCCCCATATAAGCCGGGACTTCCCCTTCTAATTCTCTTCATGTCGTCCCCCAACTTGTACCGCTCTGGGTTATTGCCCCCCCTCGGCCCTCAGATGGTTCCCCCGTCGTCGGAGCCTGGTCGTCTGTTCGTTCGTTTCGCCTCTATGTCTCTCGTCGAGTTTCCTGCCTCCTGGCCCATCGCGCAAGGGCGAGACCCGTCGTACCGGGAGTCGTTCGAGCGCCTCCGCCCGTTGGAGGACTTGCCTCTGTCTCAAGTTGCCGAGTATTCCTCCAAGCTGCTCCCTCGGTTGGCCCCCGTAGTCCGTTCGCATCGAGCTCCCGCTCTCCCAGTCCCCCCTGCAGCACCCCTGTTGCCGTCGTCTTCCCGTCGAATCTTGTGGCAAGGCGAGTTCGACTGCCTGATGAAAGCCGGTCTGTGGCAGCCCGTTGTCTTCGGGCCCCACCACCTTTACTTTGGTGTTTTGTTCGATGCGTTTCCCTCCTCCTTCATCTGGGGTCGCGAGGACGGCTCCCTTCAGGATATCCGCCCCTTGTTCGGACAACTGGGCCGTGGCCTCCTTGCCCATCTCCTCTCTGCCAACACTTCTTCCCCTAGTGATTCGTTCTTTCCCCGCTTGTGGCGTTGGGTGGTATGTTTCCTTCCTTGCTCGCTTCCGGCCGTGCGCTTACGGTCTTCGTCCAGCGCCTTATCCTGCATGCATTGTCTTGCGCCTCCTCGGCCGGCCTTCCCTCCTTCGTATCAGATCGATTCCTTATCCTAGCCCACGTGGCCGCCTTCCGCGTATTTCCCCAAGAGAACATGGCTCATCCCGATACGCTGGCCCGACTGCTGGGCCCTCTCCCTCCCTCCGTCCCTCGTCCCGCCCGTTTCTTCACGCCGACCGGTGGTCCTCCTTCGTCCGGGTCGTCTCCTTGCAAGATCCTCGAGACGAGTTCGTGTTCTCGGGTGGCCCTTCGTTGGATGAGGCAGAAGCGGGCGTTTCCTTTAGCTTCCTCCCGTTGGCGACTTGGTTGGACGACCGATTCCCGAGCCCTGAGAGCGGTCCGGAAGATCCCGAGGCAGCGGCCTCGATGGTGAAGCGCGTTTTCCCTGCGCCCGTGGCTCGGGCGCGGTCCTCCCCTTCGATGGAGATCGACGTAGAGCATGACGGTGCCCCGCCTGTTTCGACCTTACTGTTCTTCCCCTCTGATCCGGAGTCGGATTCGGATGTGGAAGTGATCGCCGGCCCCCGTCGTTTGTCCTCGCTAGGGATCGACCCTTCGGAACACGAGTCGGCAGAGGATGAACTTGATCCTCCTTTCTCCCCGGCCTCGTCGCCCACCCCGTTGCACCGGGATTTCGGCACCCCCTTGGCCCCTCGTCTAGAATCCACTGGACAGTTGGCGCTTTTCCGAGGAGAGCCCCCTCGTCTACCGGGAACAGTGATCCGATCCCTTTCCCCTCGCTGCGAGTATTGCATCGCTCATGATCGTTTATGCACCGTGTGGGGCGTCCCAGATAGTTCTCCCCAGAAACTCCCTGGTCCCGTGCGTCGGGCTTGTGACGCGTGCAGCCCGCTCCATCGTGCCTGTCTGCGTTGGCGGTCTTTTGCAGATGCGTACAAGGCTCGTTCCGCGGATTTGCGCGAGTTTTCCTTCGAATTTTGGGAGCATCAAGTCGAGGATGGCGAGTTTGCGCTGCTGCGTCCCGATCCCCGCTTCGCCGATCTAGTCGGGCTGTCCGCCTCGGTTCCGTACCAATCCTTCTTGTTCTCCTATTTCGGGCGGAGCCCGACGGTCGGGCCTTCTTCGGGCCGTCGTCGCCGCCCGGTCGTCCTTTCGCCAGGGTCTTCTCAGGACTCCTCCCCATCCCCCGTGCGAAAACGAGTTCGCACTCGCTCGCCGTCTCCCCCACCATCGCCGGGTTGGTCCCGGCCGAGACCTCGCCCCAATTTCCGCTGGCCAACCCCCCCTGTCGCGGATTGCTCGTCAGGAGAAGCGTCGTTCCGGCCGCACGCTCCTGCGGGTAAGACCCGCCCCCCTTCTTATCCCACTATGGGTTTCCAGGTGTTATCATTCCCTCGAGTCTCCCTGTGGTTCGGGAGAGAGTGGGACTTGGATCGGGCTATCGCCAAGTCTCGCCGGTTGCATGGGGATCTGTCGGTGCCCGCCGATCAACGCTTGTCGCCGTTGGGCGTGCTGCTGTTGCAACAATTGGCGGTTCATTCGGCCGACGGGGATTTTCCGGATGCTCGGACCCGTGCCCTCGCGGAGTTGTCGTCGATGCGTTCTCTAGACGCAGACCTCCGGTTGGTGAACTCGCTGGAGTCCCTGACAGCATCGCGGGACGTTGCCGACGTGTGCCGCTATCTGGGCGCCATTCTCCTGGCTATCCACCGGTCTGAGGGCGAGAGGTCGGGATTCTGGGAAACGCCAGAGGGTTTAGAGCGTCGGGCCGCTGAACGAGAGGTGTATGCGGATGTGTGCCGTCGGGACGGCCTGAGCTTCGACATGATGGACCTGGATTAGGCTTAGGCGGATCGTTGGTCGTCTTTCGGCGACATCGGCCAGAGTTCCCCGTCTACTCGGGTCTCGGCGTTCGGGTATCCCCGTCCTTTCGTTTGCTGTCGTCGTTCGCGCGCCTTGTCAAGTCGGCCCCCTCCCGTAGGACTTCCCCGTTGTGGTTCGGACTATATCTTGTTTCCTTTTTGTTCGTGTTTTTTTGTATTTTTTTTGCAATCAACCAATCGTCTTGTGCTCGTTCGTCGTGTGGTGGGTAAAAACAGGAGATTTTATTATTAGGGGCCCGGAGGCCCCGCCAAAGGTTAAAATAGAGCAGATTATGAGAGGAATAAGGGGCCGCGCCTTACTGCGGTGTGTCCCTTCGGATTGTGAAAAATATATGCAAATAAATTTAAGCTAACGTCCTCTGTTAATTGTGGCTGAAAGTGACTGCGCCGTCGAGCCCCCCCAGGTTCCGGCAACCTCGACTTTGAGATCAAATTAATATTTTAACAATCCGTCCGGGATTAATTAATTTGGACTTGGTTGAGGGCAGTTAAAAACACCACTCATGATGACTACAGGGTTTGTGTAGCCAGATGCTAGGGCTACAACCAACATACCCACCAGTATTGTGAAAAACAGAGCGGCTGGGCGTTGCGTCGAGTCCGTTGCCACGAGCACTGGATTCCGCATGGCCCATCGGTGTGATCTGCGCTCCCATCAGGAGATCAGACATCGACCGTGTAACATAAAGGGAAATACGCCACCTGATGAGTCTTTCGACGAAACGTCGCGCGCCCCCCGACGTAGTGTGCCCCCGTCTCCTCGAATACTCCCCTAGCACACCCAGGATCGCTCGCTCTCTCTCTCTCTCGCCGGTCTTACCTTGTTTATACGAGCCCCGAGCTCCCTTCTGCCGACTTCGTCCAGCAAAAAAGTCAAGCCAAGCCAAGCTGAGCTTCCACTTACCTCCCCCATCTCGCCTCCCTCCCTTCAACCCCACCCGCCCCCCGCCGCTGCTGCCCCGCACTGCACCGGCCCCAAAACGCACCCCCTTCACCACCGCTCGCTCCCACACCATGCCTGACGCCGTCGCCATGGATGTCGATGCGCACACCGGAGGCACCTGTTGCAGCTGGTCCAATGCACAAGTTGTGGGTTATAACCCAACGGTCCAATGTGCAAGACATGGGTTATATACCAAAATATACTATAAAAGCATAATGTGACTACTGTGACATTGTATATGTTATTGTAAATCACCTTTTCTTCAGGCCGATGACTCGTGATGTAATATTGGGCTCCTAGGAGAGGAGGGAATAGAGATTAATAATAACTAGAGAAGGAGTGATGCAGCATCATGTGATCATCAAAACAATTGATCTCTTGCAAAACTGGTTCAACAAAGGTTACATTTAGTTTGGACCATCAATCCCATCACTAATATCATACCAAACAGCTCAAAAAAGAATAAAATGAAACCAAGGAATTATTTCTCTAAATTCCCCTGGGCTATAACCCATGTCTTGTGCATTGGACCTTTGGGTTATAACCCATATCTTGTGCATTGTAAGAGGGGCACCAGCTGCCGGAGGTGCTCGCCCTCTCAAGCGCCAACGAGAGGATACGGACGACGGCGGCACCACCGGAGGCCCGCCGGCCGCTAAACGCGGAACGACAGCTCACGCTGTCGCGTCCTCGGACCTGGAGGACTGGAATGCCGCGGTCCAGTCCCTGCAGACTGCCCGGATCCCCATCCCACCTCCACGCGTCCTGGAGCAGTGCCGCGCCCACTACCAGTCGTTCCTCGCGGAATACGACCGGGCGCTGGACACTCTCCACCGTGCCGAACAGCGCCTTACGCTGTTCGAGCAACAGGCCGCCGGCGACGGGACCCCGCGCGTCATCTCTGACGCGCTCAAGATCCCCAACGTCCAGGTCTTCCGCGACGCCGTCAACGTTGAGCTCAACGAGATCGTCGCGGCCGCCCGGGCCAAGGCCGAGGCCGACCTCGCCATCGTCCACAAAAGCGCCATCGCTTATGTGCGCGCCAAGTACACCGCCCAAGTCGCGGTGTACCGGGACGGCGTCAACGTCGCCCAGCGCGCTGATGCCTTCGAGGTATGCCTGCAGGCATACGCCCAAGGCATCATCGAAAGCGCGCCAGGCGGCGGAGAAATCCAGAAATGGAATGCCGCCATCTCACGCCTCCGCGCCGCGATCTACGAGACCATGAGCAATCATGGATACGATTTCGCGGAGAAGCTGCGCGAGGACACCGCCCGGAAGGACGCAAAAGCGACCGCAGTCGCGACCGCGCGGGCGAAGGCCGAAACCGAGGAGGCTGCAAAGCCTGTCGGGGAGCTTATCAAGGAACAAGTAGACGAACGTACACTAGTACCTTCCCCCCGCGCCCGAGTTACTCACACCGCAACTTTAGGACTGGTGGAACTCGAAAAGCAAGTCAAGTCCCTCGCGGCTTCCCACACGCCAGCTACGGCCCCACCGGCGGCGACGTCATCATCGACGACGCCCAGACCGAACGGGAAACCACAGCCAGCCCCCCACAAAAGCCAACGCGGCTCGGGCTCGGGCGGCGGGAAGCCACCGGCAAAAAACGGAAACGGCGCCGTCGCGGACAGCAAGAAGACCCCCAAAGCAGGCAAGGCCAAGCGCCAGACCCAGGGGAGACAGAAGACCACTACGCGCTGAGTACAGCAGCACCGGTGGCCGCTCCGGCGGATGTCCTGTCATGGGTAAGCCCTCACGGTCAACGGTTTCACCACCATAGACCTGACACATACCCCCAGCCGTTCTTCGACGCCTGCCCGGACGACCAAAAGAAATTTATCCTCAGTAGAATGACTCCATTATATTTTGATACACGTTTAATAAATTGTGCTTTCCATAACTTAACGGACATCCAACTCTCCACTGAGCAAGCAAAGATCCTTGCACTGAACCCCAAGTTTGTGCCACGACCTAAGCCAACACAAAGCAAATCAGCGCTCGCCAGCGTTGATGATTTCTGCCGCCGTCTTCGCCTTAGAGTTGCCAAGACACAAGAACAGAACAACTCGAGCAGTAACGAGAATAGTAGGAGTGGTACTCACCAAGTAGGACTCAGTCCCACTTTGATGGCCCAATCCCACTCTCGCGGCGCCGAGATAACTTAGCCGAGCTCTTGGAGAGCAACGGAAATCAGATATCAATCAAAAAAAGATCGGCAATGCTACGCGCAGCGTGCCTCCGCGGCGAGCGGCAGCCCGCGGCAGCGTGGGGTCCGGGGCGAAGCCCTGGTCGGGGTCCGGGGTGGAAAACCCCGGCCGTCGCGGCCGGCGCCGCCACCCTGTTACAAACCTCCATGCTTACCAAGCAAAGAGGATGAACCAAGGTGAAATAGGATCCCACGCTCCGCGCAGCGGGCCCCGCGGCGAGCGGAAGCCCCCGGCAGGGTGGGTCCGCCGCGGCCGGCGCCGCAACCCTGTTGATGCGATGGTTGTCGATCCATCAACTGGGGTTGATATGCGGGAAGCGAGTCCCATTCCGGGGCCGCAGAAGTAGGACTGGGACCCATCAAAGTAGGACTGAGTCCTACTGTGCGAGTCCCAGTCCTACTATTCTCGTATATACTCGAACAACTCGTTCTCATCGTACTTTGGTATACAGGATATTGAGAAGGGTCAAGCCAAATATGTCCCCAAATTCCATATCCCTGTGCCTGACGCCGAAGGGCCGCCATTAATTGATAAAATTGAGAACGCACTATCACAAATGCGGGACCAACTTGAGATCGAAGTACTTTCGCGACAGTCCGTCTACATTCGACCAGATATCCGGCAAGTAGACTTGGATACCCTTCTCAGACTATTGTCTGACCACAGCGTCATGGCTGTTTCGGCTGATAAAAACCTAGGCCTCTGCCTGGTTACATCAGAAGCAATCGACTTCGCTCTCGAGTAGGGATGAGCACGGGTCAACCCGCGGGTGACCGGAGGCTGACTCGGACCCGGACCTGCACAGCCACTGACCTGTGACCCGCGGGTCCGGGTCCGGATCACCCGCCGGGTTAGAAGGTGAAGGGCGACACAAATATGTCGGGGAAAAAAAGGAGAGGAGGCAGAGTTGAACCAGGGACATCTTGATGAAGTGCAGACCAGCAGGGCGGCGGAAATCAAGCATAAACCAGCTAGACTTAATAGGCACGGGTCAAGTGCAAGCTGACCCGTACCCGTACCCGTACGGGTCAAACCCGCCAACCCGCGCGGGTCAGCCGGACCCGTGCTCATCCCTAAGAATGGTATCACCAAGCAGGACTGAAGCTGCTGGAGAATGACTCATATGAGCTTGCAGAACCAGACCATTATTTGCTCCGAAAGGCGCTGAAGAGCATAGTCTCACGTGCGAGACTGTTCGTTACCGAACAACAATGGATCTGGCTGCAAGCCCCGGTCGAAGAAGGTAGGACTAAAGTTCCTACCCTTAAAGTCATTCCCAAAATCCACAAAACCCCGATATCTGGCCGGCCAATTGTCCCCATGTTTGATACACTTCTAGAAAATGCATCAGCTTGGGTGGACTACCAGATTAAGCCCCTCCTGGACCAGTTTCCATGGATTTTACCCGACTCAAAGACTTTCTGTCGGGACATCCTCAATGTTAAACTCCCAAGAGGCCATGACATATGGCTCGTCTCTGGAGACGTCACAGCAATGTATCCAAACATTCCGACAGAGGATGGCATCAGACAGATCGCCGCCTTACTCCAGACTGATCCCATGGAATTCAATGGGCTCAAGGACGCTGCCAATGTACAAGTGAAATCTCGCAGAGAGCTGGTAGTCCTCTTGCTCCGTATGGTTTTGCAGTACAATTATGTCACTTTTGCGGGAAACACATACCGACAAACTGTTGGTACAGCAATGGGTACAGCTTGCGCACCAACATACGCAAACTTATTCCTTGCGCCGTACGAGTCACGCGCACTGCTTGAACTTGGCAACATAATTCTGTTCTACCGCCGTTTTATTGATGATTCATTTGCAATCATTCATGGCACCGAACGGGATGTACGCCGATATCAGCAGCGCTTTGGCAACCTCCACCCAAATAGTGCTGTCCACAATTATATTATGCTAGAATATATTTTGAATATATTCCAATAAATATGATTATATTATGCCCTTTGCATATTCAGACCCATTGAATATGAGTGATTATGAATATGAATATATTATGAATATAATATATTATACCTTGGCCATAATTAATTATATTCAAATACACCAGCAAGCCCTTCAGCCAGAGGTACTAGCTCTGTAGCAGGCTACTAGCAGCAGTAGCAACATCTTCAAACTCAGTCTTTACCATATCAATGGCTTTTGGCAGTAAATCAGGCCGGACAATATCCATATCCAGCCCTGACAGAAGGCTGAAGTTGACCTTTATATTGCTACCCTGGACTTTGATGATACTCTTCGCTGGTGAAGGTATCATACTTGACCTAGGCTAGAGTTTTGTTCAGCTTAATATCTTGTTGTAGAATATCCAGGCTATGTTACCAATCCTGGTTATGGCTGCAAAGAGCATCTCTGTAGGGCACCTGGTCTCCAGACTCCAGCATCAAGCATAGGATGACAGATATGCATGCCTCAATGACTGCAAAATTGGCCACAGAAACAACCATAACCAAGGAGTGGTTCAATAAACCATGAGATAAGGTGGATTATATGCACTATGTGCAGACTTGTGAAGCTTGAATATAATTGAATATATTCATAATATATTCATATTCTGAGCCCAATTATGATTATGAATATGAATACAATTATAATATGCTCCAGCAGAGAGAATATATTATGAATATGAATAAATTATGAAAATTTCGTATTCATAATCATAATTGGACAGCACTACACCCAAATATGAAAATGGAGTGGTCAGTGTCAAGATTCAAGTTGCCATTTCTGGACGTTGCGGTTCTGATGGAGCTGGATCCTCGTGTTCCAGCATTCAATCCACAATTCCGCATAATCACCGACGTTTACCAGAAAGCCCTGAATGCGTACTTGTACATACCTTGGAATTCATGTCATTCCCTAGACTCAAAACGAGCCTGGGTTAAGGGTGAACTAATCCGCTATGTGCGGATCTGTTCAAGATGCTTATCATGGAGGTAGGATAGGGGCTAGGAAGGTGAAACGCAAGAAAAACTGCACACACACAAACAAACTCCAACACAACACACTCTACAATCAGCACAGAAACACAATAAAATACAAAACCAGGGCGCCTAACACCAAAATATACGGGCCGAGGATCACTCGGATCAAACTGGATGTGAAATAAAACTAACTTATCTTAAGTTCTACTGGTCTAACCAGATACCTACTTAAGTTGTACATACAAACTTAAGTTCCCTGTAAGGGCAACCCCGGAGGCCTGAGATCAAGGTCCTAGCAGGGGAGGATCCAAAGCGTGAACATTGGTAAGCGAATACAAATGAAGCTGACCTAGCAGGGGAGGATCCAAAGAGAAGAAACTCTGAGGGTCCGCCTGCTAGGTAGCTGACTATATACTGCTCGTCCGTAGCTGCCGCTGTCGGGCACAGAAGGCTTGGGCGGCGTCGCAGGCGAGGTCCCAGGGCGACCGTTGGGAGGGCGTTGACGGATTGGTGATTGTGCGGGCGAGATGGAGGGCCGGACCGGAGTCGGAACCGGAATCGGACCGGAATCGGGCGCGTCTCCGGGCCGAAAGGGAGGTTCCCCTGACATCACCCCCCCCTTTGAATGCGGCGTCTCGACGCATAGACCGGAACGGAATCGAGTCGAAGGTCGCGGAGGCGATGTGTCGTGGCTTGCCAGGGTACTTACGATAGAACTCCGCAATTTTGTCCGGGGCGAAGACGCGGTCAAAGCGGACCCACTGGTCGTGCGATGCGTCGTAGCCCTTCCATCTGACGAAGTAGTTCAGCCGTTTATACCTCACCCTTGTGTCCAAGAGTTCCTCTACTTCCCACTCCGGGACTCCGTCCCACCTGTTAATCCCAATTATCCCTTCAAATTATCCCTTCAAATTAGAATGGACACCCGGGTGAGGTGTCCATTCTAATTTGAAGAGATAATATCAAACTCCCTATGCTGCAATAAAGGTTCTAATAAAACTGCAATAAAATTGCAATATTTTCAGGAAACCTCAACTAAGGTGTTTGGTGCGACATTGTGACAGAGTAACATCAGAGTCACATCAGAATAGCCCAAAAAGGCAATTTCGTAGATTTTAACTCTAAGACACTAACACTTACAACAGGATCATCTCACATCAGAGTTCCATCAGAATCACCAAAAAAGGCAATTATTTATTTATTTTGCAAGAGGACACAACTTTTTGAAATTCCCCTACAGAAATCACCAAATTACTTGAGATACCATACTCCAAAGACATATTAGGAAAGGATTGTAATACTGTATCTAGGAACAAAGTACGCCAAAGATGGATAAAGGAAAGACAAGAAGAACTACACCCATCACTACTCACGTTGTCCTGGCGGCCCCATACCCTTCTTGCCCTTGACAAAACCCTGAGACACTTCAGCGTTGGCACGTGCCTTACCAAAAGCTGGGCGAGGTTTGGGGCGGGATGATGAACCAGCTTCACTGCTGGTGGTCTCATTCCCCATCTGACGCTTCAAACGCTTCAGGGCCTTCCCACCA